ACCTCATCCCGTGGAAGGGCAAAGCAGAACATATACTGATCTGGTCAAGAAGTGTCTCATCATGACAGGAATGAAAACAACAATAAAATATCTTTATCAGAAATTCTGATAGTGCAAATATCCCAGGCAGAGGAGAACATGGCATTTGTCTTTCAGATTCTTGGAAAAAAAAGAACAAGCTAAGCTCCTGGAAAGATTTAATAGTGTTTCTATCTCCACCCTGATATTTTTTATCAGAACATGCGAAATGTTTAATGCGAATTCTCCTTGGGTGTGCCATTGCTTTTATGGACTTTTTATTGCTTATAAACCAAATCACGTCACTGCTGGTACTTTCTCTGACCCTTTAGTTAAAATGTTACCCCAAGGACAATCACATCTTTGTGTGCTCAGTGTTTGCTGAGCACTCCAGGATCCTTGGATTTGTGTGGGGTGGGAGCAGAGGCCCACGCAGGAGTGAGCCCAATCCCATCAACACTTTCTGCAATCATTTTGCATTTTTTCCCAGAAAAAATATTGGAATTTTCTCAAAAAAAGAGCCTCATTTGAAATTAGCAAGTACTTCTTATGTTTCCTAGGTAGGGCAGTTCAGAATTTCACTGATATTAAACAAAAAGACAAAAAGAAGGGTGACTGAGCACTGGAATGGGCTGCTCAGAGAGGCTCTGGACTCTCCATCCTTGGAGACATCCAAAAATCATCTGGAAACAGTTCTGGACACTCAGGGCCCAGGGAGATAAAACTGGAGGACCCCCAGTGTCCATTTAAACCTCAACGACTCCAGGATTCTGTGAAGAAATGGGTTTCAGCCTTCATATTTTTGTACATTTAAAAGGAAGAAAGTTTTTTCTGCTGTTAACTTCTTTTCCTGTTTGCCTCAAATGCTGTCTGGATTTATCCCTTTATGGAAAATTAAAATAAATACATAAATAGATAAATAAATAAAGGTGGAGGGGAGGAAAGAAGGTTAACAAACATTCTGACATACAGGAAGAATATAGGCAGACTAGGACATGATAATTGCCAGATGGGTTGGAAGCCAGTGGTTAATGGGAATAGAAGCAGATAAACACAACATTTCTGGGTAGAAGGGATGCAGGGTAGGAATCTGAAAGAGGTGATGGGGTTAGCATTTTAATAGGATCTAAAGCTGGTTGTCTGAGAACACTGGTGGCTAGAACTACAAAAGAGAGTAAAAATATGAGAAATACATAGAAATTATGTATTTTAAACTAATTTAAAAGTGATCAGTCCAGGGAATTTTGAGTTTCAGCAGAATAGAGGGAGAAAAGGGCAAGGAAATCCCATAAGGACCAAGACAGTCATGGGGGAGGAATGGAAGGGAAGGAATAATGAAAGCTGGATAAAGAGCCACATTGTGGAATCAAGGAAAAAATAACAACTCACACTCCAAAAATTAGAGATAAGAGACAAGGGATGGTGACAGTAGGAAGGACCAGAAGTGGCAGCCAATAAAGAGAATAAATGGATGCATCAGCAATACTTGGATAATTTGGAAATGTGTAAGAGCTTAGCAGAGTGAAGAGAAAGGTAAGAGAAATTGAGGGGGAAATGTGAGGCATATTTAAGGGAGAACAGGTACAAAAGTCTGTGTATACAATACTGGTGAGAAAGAGGAAAATTCCACCTTCCTGATGACTGTGGGCATCATAACTCAGAATTACACAATGATAAAGGGATGAGGGGAACCAGGGTCTGGGAGTGGCAAGTGCTGGACACAGGGAAGAGCTGCCAGTGTCTGGATTAACCAGTGTTTCAAGGAATTTTTGGAATTACAGAACTGATGGAATTTGTCCTCTCAGTGCTCAGCAGCTGCAAAAAAGTTCCACTGTTGGGAGCTGGCAATAAAGGAGTGTTAGGGTGAGTGAAATCTCATATGAGGAGAAAGATATCAGCACCAGGCTGACGTCTGTCCTCTCATTAGTGATTAAACATTAATAGCAAATCAGAGAATCAGTCATATCAGAGAATCCCAGACTGATCTGGGCTGGGAGGGATCTTGAACCCATCCCATCCCATCCCTGCTGTGGGCAGGGACTCTTCCCACTCCAAGGTTGCTCCAAGCCCTGTCCAACCTGATCTTGGCTCCCCATCCCTCAAAGCACTGGGATTCAGGTGTCACTTACAGACCACAAGTGGAGAAAAGGAATGAACTTTTTAATAAGTTGAATGGGGAAAAGAATGGATTTAGAAATAAGAAGGGTGTGTGAGGTAACACAAGCCTGATGGTTTGGTGAAAAATAAGGGAATCAACATGATCTTTTCCATAATGCAAATTACCCAACTAAATCGCCAGTGACACAATTCATTTTTTTTTAGCTCATTTTTCAGGGACTGAGGTGTTGAAGAATCATAGAACCACAGAATGGTTTGGGTAGGAAGGGACCCCAAAGTTCATTTCATTCCAGCCCCTGGCAGGGACATCTCCTGCTGGACTTTTCAGGAAGGGCTTTGCAGTGTTACCTGCTGCTCAAAATTCAGCTGTGCCAAAATCAGTTATTCCTGATGTGGGATTTCACTCAGCTCAGCTTTTGGGTTATAAACACCTACATCATGAGGTGCTGTCAGAGCAGTGAGATCCATCTGCTCCCTGTGGGATGGGGGCTGAGAGCAATCCTATCCCACAGCACCAGGTGAGCTGAGCAGGGCAGGCAAACACTGCCAGCAGGTTCAACCAAGAGTTCAAACGTTAAGGATTCATTGGATGAGGCAGATCTGAAGTTAATTTGGGAAGTCAATGGGCAAGTCAGGGACCAGTTGGGGTCCAGGGGCAGTAAAGAGGAGCAGACAGAGCCCTGTGATCACCGGGCAGGTCCATAATGAAGAGACAGATCCCAGCTCAAGCCAGAGGGGTGGTTTGTGGATTTGGGTCCTGACATCTGCCTATGGCCAGGCCCACAGGGGTGGTGGGGACCAGCACCCGTGCAGAACCTGGCTGTGAGAGCTGCACCCTCCAACACAGCCCAGAGCAGGGGGAGGGCCCAGGTGACCTCAGGTCCATTCGAGTTCCCTCAGTGTGGGAATCCAGAGCTTCCCTCTGGCTGCCCTGGGACCCTGGCAGGGGTCAGGAACCCCCCTGGACAGAGCCCCCAGAGACACTGTCTGTGATCTCTGTCCATGGAAAAGAGTTTTCAATCTCACAGGATGAATTACAAGCTCTGAGTGTTTGATATAAGTAATAATTAAGTGTGGCATGGGTGCAAAAGTAAAATTTTAGGATTCTAGATTAGGGGTTCAAAGGGGAGAAGATGGAGGAAATTGGGTGTGTTTTGTCCTTTTTCTCCTTCTTCATGCCCTCCATGTTTCACTGTGGTGTTGGCATTTTTCTGTTGGTTCAGGCTGGGGACACACTGTCCAACGTAGGTGACAGATATTGGCACGTTATTGTAAATCCAGCACAGGTAGTTTGTGGTATTTAATGTTTGTACCATCCCACTGAGGGCAGAGCCCCACACGCTGCCCTGCAGGACAGAGCTGCGGCAGGGCAGCAGAACATGTTAGAGATAAACAGAATAAACAACCTTGAAACCAGCACAGACCAATTATGGCTTCTGCTTTGGCAGCGGGGCAGAAAGAGACTTTCTACCATCTCAGAATCATCAATATCTCATATTCCAACACCTCAGTACCCTCAAGGCTGCAATCAAGATCACCAAAAGACCTTAAAAATACAGCTCAGAGTCTGGTCTGTGGGGAGCACCATCAGAGGCTGCTCTTTGAGGCCAGGAGCAGGAGCAGCCAGTGCCAGCCTGGTGCTGCTGGGTTGGTGGTGTGATCCTGTGAATCACAGCTGCTCCTGCAGAGCTGATAACAGACAACTGCAGATAACAGCTCTGTGTGGAACAGGATTTCTCTGAGTGACCTCCAAACCCCCAATATCCCCACAGGGAATGCCAGCAGACCTTTCCAACCCCTTACAGTCCTGTAGGGAAGGGCAGCCAGGGCTGAGGGGGAAATGCTCTGCTGCTCTGAGTTAGTTATTTAAAAGAAGAACAGAGACATGGACAGGCTCTGTACATTTCAGTGGAGCGAAGCACATTTTGGATTTGGGAGGAAACGTCCTGTAGGTGTTCCCAGTTCTGCTCCTCCCTGCTCAGATGAAGACCTGCAGAACCGTGGGCCTGGCACCTGGATCTGCAAGGACCAAGATCAGATGTCTGTGTTATCTGCTCTCACCCACTCTCAGCTCCCTGACAAACAGGTTCTAATCCTCTCTCCAACAAGTCTCCCTTGCAAAATCCATAACCTCCTTCTCTACAAGAGCTGCTGTGCTGGGTCCTGAGGATTTGTCACATTAAAGGAAAATAGGAAGTCCCTCCTCTATTTGGAGAAATAACTTCAGGTTTAAAAGAAGCCCCTGCAGTGCTTAAGTCAGGAAATCCCATTTCCCGACTTCAAGGCAGCAGGAAGAGCCTTAGTGAGGGACTCTCTCTTTGGAATTTGCTCTGGATGCATTTTGTCCTGAGGTAGTCAAAATAGTGGATGTAAGGAATCCTCTTCCACACCCTCACAGTCTTCCTGTCAAATGAAGTAGGAATTTATGCACCTCATGATAATTTTATAATTTCCTAATTTTCAGTTCTGGATTTAGGCTCCAGATTCCAGGGCTAAGAATACAGATTTGGTGCACTGAGAGTCTTGGTGGAACTTGCTAAGTTGAAGGCTCCATATATAAAAATGGGGGAAAAAAATAGTTAAAGAGTTACAAATAGGAGGGGAAAATGTAAAATCTCTGATATGGACTTGCATTACCATGACAGACCTGAGGGTCTGGTTTTAAGATCAGGATATCTTTAAAAGATATCTTTCATTCAGGGATTATTTCATTAAGTTCAGGATATTTTAAAATGGTATCTTTCATTCAGACATGAAATGCCTTATATGGGGAAAAAGCAAGGAGGCAAGAAGAGTATCCTCAAACAAAATCCACTCCCAAACCCAGCAATAACAAACAAAACAAAATAAACAAACAACAAAAATCCAAATTATTACAGTTTTTTATTGCCTGTACAGCATATAAACACGGACAGATAATTTCTTCCCAATCTTGCCACCAATAAATAAAACTACAAACAATGCTTTCATTTCAGTGTGATTCTAGCACTGCACTTTGGAATTCCTTTCTCTCAAAGAGAGTTTAAAGAACTTTGATATTCCAGCCAGTGAAGAAGTGTTCCTGTGCTGCTCTACACCCATTCCCTAAATCAACAACAATCAGTACAAGGAACAGGCTGATTTCTGACTGTCAGAGTGTTCCTAAACACCAGGAATTCAGCTCGAGTTACTTGTTGCAGTTCTGCTACAAACTCAGAGGTGTCACCTGCAGACAGGTGGAAGGGAAAGGGAAGGAGGGACTGGGAAAGGGAATAACCCAGTGCTGTTCTGTGCAGGGGAGGCCAAACCACAGGCAGATATGAATGATTAGATACTCCTTATTGGACATTAAATATTAGATATTAGGCATTGAAAAGGCTGCAGGGGATGCTGAGTCTCACACAGCGTGTTCAAATCCAGGAAAAACAGTGGGAAATGAAACCCAGGGCATTTCCATTCCAGTGTCACCCAGCTCCTGCAGCACTGGAACCTCTCAGAGGAGTCCCAGCCTCCCTGCTGGCAGATCTGCTGTGCTGGTGGCACCTGATCCAGGTGCTGCAGGACTGCAGGGATGTCCTCACCAGCAGGCAGCTCCAGCTTGGCTGGAGTGGGAGATGAAGCCCAGGAGTATTGATTGTTGAAAGTACATGATCTTGCCACAGGAATGCACAAACTTCCCAGCTGGATATGTCTTTTGTGGGTTTTTCCACCTTCTCAGAAGCAGCCGGCGCAGGCAGCGTTGGCACAGATCTCACAGAGGTCATCCTCAGCAGCCAGGCCTGTCCAGGGGAAAGGAGGGATTCAGTCAGGTGCCAGCAGGGCAGAACTGCCTGTCAAAGCATCTGTCAAAGCATTTGGAGACTCATTTGTGTTCCTGCTTTGTCATTTGAAAGACCCTTGGAGGTAGAACTGCTCTAAGTAAAATTAGCTCACGCTAAAATCTGACTGAAGGAATGAAATCAGACCTGAATCCCTTCCACATGGGAACATGTGGAAGCAAGAGGACAACAGGATATGGCAGCATTTTATCCTGAAGTGTCCCTTGTACTGGACAGTAGATAACTGCAATATAATAACTTTAAAAAGCAAACACTGCAGCAGCAGCAGCCCATGGCAGAGGGACTTTGGACAAAGAGGAATGGCTTAGAGGAGGGTAGATTTAGATGAGATATTGGGGGAAAATCCTCCCTGTGAGGTGGGCAGGCCCTGGCACAGGTGCCCAGAGCAGCTGTGGCTGCCCCTGGATCCATGGAGGTGTCCAAGGCCAGGCTGGATGGGGCTTGGAGCAGCCTGGGACAGTGGGAGATGTCCCTGTCCATGGTAGGGGTGGAATGGGATGAGCTTTAATATCCCCCCAACCAAACTATTCAGTGATTGCATTATTCTACTTTGGATGAACTTTTCCCTGGCCACAGCAGTGGGATGTGCCCAGCTCAGCTCAGCACTGCAGGAATTTTCCTCAGGTGGTTCATGGAGCCCAACCTCTGCAGGAGAAGGGGCAGCACAAAGGCAGCACAAACCCTCCCAGCTGCCCTAGAAGTGACACAGAAGTAACTCCGTGGCTTTGCCTCCTGCTATTGGAATGTTTAAGGTTGAAAATTGTGGTAAAAATGAAAACTACGAAATATGAACGACATACTCAGCCTCCTAAAAATCATGAGTGCATCTTCCCTCTTGCACACAGGCCGGAATTCCTCAGGGAGGCGTTTCTCCTGGCAGGGGGAGTAGCTGGCCAGGGGAACCATCATGCGAGGGTTGATGTGTCTGTTGCCATCCATGAGCTCCTTCAGCTTCTTCACAGACTCCAGGGGGAATCTCAAGTCTCCATCCTGTGAAGAACCAGAAAAAAGAAGTGTCAGGAAGTCAGGCCTTTTGCAAATCTATTCCATTTCAAGCAAAAGCTCTCCCAAAAAATATAGCGGAGGGAAAAGATGGTGCTGAAAGAAAACCAAGATAAAACCTGTGTTGAATAAAGGCAGTGGGCAGAGGGAGAATTCTGTCCTGGCTCATCCCCATGAGACAGACCCATAAAATCTGGGATAGGAAGATCAAAGCTGGGAATCTTTAGCCTAAAAAGTGAGAACTGGGAAATATCACAGAATCCTGGAATGGGTTGGGTTGGAAGAGACTTAAAGCTCTTCTCATTCCACCCCCTGCCATGGGCAGGGACACCTTCCACTAGACCAGGCTGCTGCAAGCTCCATCCAGCACTTCCAGGGATATGTGGTAGAGACCTACAAAATCATCACTTGAATGGGGATAAATGGGAATTTATTTGTTTCACTGTTTCTCCTAACACAGCAGTGGGAGTGTCAAGTGTTGGCTGTGACCTGGCAGGGTGTGACCACACAAAAGCAGCTCTTCTTTCACACCACACGTTGCTGAGGGCTTAAACCCTTCACCTCAAGACATTGTGGAGAGTTTCCATTAATTTAGAATCACAGAATCTCTTGAGCTGGAGGGACCCACAGGGATCATTGACTCCAGCTCCTGGCCCTGCACAGATGCCCATCAATCCCACCCTCTGCCCATTTAAAACTTGCTCACACAATCCATGAAAAACAAGTTTTTGGAAGCATAAATATAACACTTCCGACTTAAAGTTCACACCAGAAACTTCAGGAAGCTGGGACAGTACTCTGAGAAATATTCCTCTATGTTTTAGTTGCTTCTCCCTGTTCATTGGTTATGGGTCATTCCCTCAATTTCAAGAGATTTCCCCTTTTTGTGGTCATAAATTTAAATTGCAGGTGTTGTAGCTGTTTTACCAAGTGCACAAAGTCTGTACCCATCTGCAGATAATCAGAGTTTGGCCTAGAAAACAAATAAGCATTTTCAAACAGATTTATATCTGCTGTTTTAACATGGTTTCATGGCCAACATGTAGTCAGCAAGGGGATGTGGGAGGTTCCAACCCCATGGCACAGTTTGGAATGAGATAAATTTTAATGTCCCTTCCAACCCAAACCATCCTGGGACTCTGGGATCAAGCAACAGCTCCTCATCCAAAGAAATAAAATGAAGTGACTCTGATACAGCAGAAGACCAAATATTAACATTTGTTTCACATCCCCATGAGTCCAATGGGGAATGGAGTGAGACAAGTGGGGAGGGGATTTGATTCTGGCTGGGGTTTTGGAGGGATTTTTACAGTATCACATTATTTTGGTGTTAAAGGTTTAAAAAACCCAATCAGGTAGGCTTTGGATACGCATTTACTACGTCAAAATCTTTTCTCTTGCAATCAGTTTAATTTATCAATGGAAGTCAATGATCTTAGAGATCTTTTCTGACCTTAATTATCTATAAAAGTTAATCAGGCACTGGCATCAGCTGCCCCTGGGAGTGGTGGAGTCACCATCCCTGGAAATGTTCCAAAAATATGTGGATGTGGCACCAGGGGAAATGGTGGATCTCTCTGTGCTGGAGGAACAGATGGATTTAATAATCTAAAAGGGCTTTTCTAACCTAAACAACTTTCTCATTCTGTGATCAGCCTTGGCTGCCTATGAAAAATTCACTTTTCCTATAAAGGCAGCTCCTGATTCAGCTCTTGGTCACACAACTGAGAAGCAAAACTCATAGATCTAAAAAAAGGTGGATTTCCACAGACACAATTTCAGAGAAATCAGGAACTGGGAAGAAACCCTGATATCTGCAGGTCCTGGGGACAAAAAAACCCCAAAGGAACAGCAAAATAGAGACAAAACCCCACCACCTCAAGTAAGAAAGATGTATTAGAGAGAGCTAAATTTGACATTCTGTGGGACAAGGAAGGGATGTCTCGGGAGCAATTTCAGGGAAGAAGAGTGCAAGCCAACTTTGTGCAGTGAAGAATCAAAGAATCACTCAGACCTCAAAGACTTCAGGTGAAAGGAGTGCAACACACTCAGAGTTCACTGCAAGTACAGGGGAAAACATAGATTTAATGATTAATGAGAGAAGAATTGCAGCCCAAACTCCAGAGATGCACTTTCTACTTTTTTATGCAACCTAGAAGCAGCCATTTTCATTTGTTAATATTTTTTATATTAATAAAAACAGGGATGTTTTTCACTGGGTAGGAAGCTGTTTGCTCCTCTGGAGAATGTAAATGTTGAAGAATGGTTTGAGAGAAAAGAATAGCTTAAACCTGCTACCTCTGGATATCTCTGTCATCCAAAGGACAAAAAAGAGGATAGTCCAGGACACAAAGATACCTTAGCCCTGGAAAGCTGCTGCACACACATAGATAGAGTCAATAATTGTTTAATAAGTATTCGTTTTCCTGGTCCCCAGAGGAAGTTGTTTACATTCAATCAGACTGAAATCCCCACACTGTCTCTCAGGAGAAGTGCAGAAAGATCCAAAGCTTTCCCAATAACAGACCAGAGCCTGAAGTACCTTCTTAACCCCTTCCACATTGCATGGACTATCAGCAATAGGTGCTGTGTGCTTGGAAAATTTCACAGAGGCTCCTTTAATCACTTCTCTGCCTATTAATATTTAATTGGATCCAGCTAAGCTCTTCTTTTCCCTTTTTTCACAGGCTCCATCCCATAACTCACAGATAATTTCCACAAAGAACTTCCTGCCTAGAACCAGGCAATTTTTCCTTTGTCACACCTTGTTTGCATCACTCTCTAAAGTCAGCACCTTCACCACATGTGGCTTTAGGTCTAGGAGAAAATTACAGGCATAAAACACTTCAACACCTAAGGACTGAGCAGAGACATGGCTGGAGAAAGTAAATAAACAGCAGCAGCATTTAGTGATAGCTGAAGTGTTTTACAGAAGGAAAACCCAGAGTACAGGGAGATACAGGTGGAAATCAAGGCGGAGCAAAGCAAAAATTCAGGTCTATTTATTTAGTTCAAGATTCCTGTTGCAACCAGAAGTTAAAAAAAAAAAAAATCAGCACTTTGTTGAATTTGTAATATCAACAAAAGAAAGAGAAAAAACTTACCTGAACATAGACTGCCTGGGAGATGTGCACCAGGACAAGGACTGCCAGGACTGTCCAGGAAAGAAAGCTTTTCATAGTGCCTGCAAAGCCAATTCTCTCCTGAACTGGACAGATTTTATTTCCTCTGCCTTTGGCCTTTTTTGTGTCTCTCAGACTTTCCCTCTTCTCCTGAGGTCTCAGACTGCCCAGCAGTCAGAGCTTTATAAAGACTTCATAGAGCATTGTGCTGGTAATCCATTAATCCAGACTTTCTATTGGCATATCATAAACCCTGAGGGGACTCTGTTATCTGCTCAGTAGTGCAGCTGGTCAGTCACACCCAGGAAGATCCTGGGATTTATGAGTTACTCCCACTTTGAGGTGCTGGCTGTGACACAGGCAGGCAAAATGTTCCAAACGGCAATAAATAAATGGTGGGGACGGAGCTCAGGCAACATCTGAAAGTCCCCATAATTCTGGCCACTTTCTGCAGAACTGGAAGGAAAAAAAGGAGTTTGGAAGAAGATAGGGAAAAAAAAAAAACAAACAAAACACCACACCAGTCAGTTGCCTATTTTGGGAGTCCCAGGAACTAGGAGTGTAACCACATAATCATGGAATTGTTAAAGTCAGACAAGATCCTTGAGTCCAACCATCAACCCAGGATCTGCTGGTAGGCTGTTCACCACTCACCTCGTCCCCAAAGGCCACATCCACACATTTTTTTAACATTTCCAGGGATAGTGACTTCACCACTGGCCTGGGCAGCCCCTTTCAGTGCCTGGCCACCCTTTCCACGAGGAGATTTTCCCAACATCCAACCTAAAGCTCCATTGGCACAACTTGAGGCCATTTCCCCTGGTCCTGTCCCTTGTGATCCAGCTCCTGTCAGGGTTTGGAGAGAGCAAAGGACCAAGGCAGAGAATTTTAAGCTGCACCTGCACATGCCCAGCTCTAAAATGTCATCTCTGCTCTTTGCAGCCCCTAATTAAAAGGCATGGGGGGTGTCATTAAGGGCAAAGGCTGCCAGGAATCAAATCCATTTCTCCATGACTTCCTTGCTTACATGGAAACACACACAGATGTCACACAGACGAAGGATCAACGTGCCTCAGCTCAGTTCTGACATCAAGCTCAGGTCCTCAAATCTGTAAATGATTTCTGGAATTTTGTGGCTTTGGATTAACACAGGCACCAGGAGAACAATGTTCCTGATCCCAGCAGAGCAGAAGAAGGCAACAGTCACCCACTAAGCACCTTCCTCAAATCTCAGCAGTGTTTTATGCCCCTAAGGTTTCAGTTCTTGCTGTAACCAGAATTATTGTTCAAGTTACGGTGAAAATCATCTTTCTGCTTGGAGTAAAATTCCAGAATCCAAAGCAGCCATGTCCCCAGTCAGGGGCCTTGGAGGAAGGGAATGGGACTTTTCTGATTCAGTACAACCCAAAAATTGCTGTAGAATTGAAGCTGAGCTGACAATGCAGAGTGTGAGCTGACAGACTTTGCTTCTCTCTTCTCCACCAGCCTCATACACACAATTTGAAGCCCTGGATCAATCTTTATTCCAAGAAAACAAGCCTGTTTCCTCTCCTGTAATGATTTCTCTGCTTTCTGCTGCCCTGGCCAGCAGCCAAGAGTATTTGCAACCCCACAGCAGCTGAGGCCTCTGCCCTTAATTATTTTAATGTGGGTCAAGGGTGGAACAGCAAAGGGCAGAGCAAAAATCTCCTCTGAGAACATTTCATTTCCCACATGCTTGGGAATTTTTACAATAATTTTCTTCTCCAAAACTTGGTTTATCTTCAACCTGTTAAGTCCTGAGTACAGCTTGGTGGAAACTAAACAACGGAATAAAGGGGCACGGGGAACAAGAGAATTGGTAAGATTGAAAATAAACAAAATTATCAAACCCAGCCTTGGAGAGAACCCAAAGAGGCAATTTTGGAGAGGTGTCACAAGAACACCGAACCAACAGATGCAGACAGAGCTGTAGTCAGTGGTTCTGTGTCCAGTGAGGTGTGGTGTACCCAGGGCCCTGCCTTGGCCTGTGCTCTTTGGTCCATTTTAGCAAACAAAGGCCTCAACATTCATTGGCTGCATGTTACAGAGTTCTCTAATTAATAATCTGTCTTCTATTGGTTAATTGACTTTCTCCCTTCTCACACTAATTAGTCCACCAGTCTTGTCCATCTTTGGAGTCGGTGGCTGTGAGTTGGTTGTCATGATCCCCTCCTGCCAAAATCACCTTTCACAGAGTGAACACCTTGGACTGGTGACCTGGGACTGTTTGTCCCTCCTTAGGCCCAGCCCAAACAACCCTGAGGGTTGTGCAGCCCTCAGGGGGACCTGAGCAGGTTGGGGAGATGGGCAGAGAACCTTCTAAAGCTCAACAAGGGAAATGCAGGTTCTGCCTCTGTGGAGGAACAACCCCAGGCACCAGCACAGGCTGAGGGTGAGGGTGACCTGCTGGAGCTCTGCAGAGAAGGACATGAGGGTCCAGGAGACAGTGAGCTGGTCCTGAGCCAGCAGAGTGTCCTTAGGGGCCAAGGAGGCTAATGGGATCCAGGGGACATCAAGAAGAGCATTGCCAGCAGGTCATGGAGTGCTCCTGCCACTCAAATCAGTCCTGGGAGGCATATCTGGAGTGCTGTGTCCACTTCTGGACTCCTCAGGACAGGAGAGACATGGAGCTCCTGGAGCAGGGCCAGTGGAGGCTGCAGAGATGATGAAGGGGCTGCATCTCCCTGCCAAGGAAAGGCTGAGGGACCTGGGGCTGCTCAGCCTCAAGAGGAGGCACAGATGAGAGAGAGCCTCACCCCGTTTGTCCCTGTCTGCAGGGAGGGCTCAGAGCAGGGACCAGGCTCTGCTGCAGGAGGCCCAGCCATGGACAAGGGGAACGGGCAGGAACTGATGCCCAGGAAGCTCCAGCTGAAGACGTGGCAGAACTCCTTTGCTGTGCAGCGATCGAGCCCAGAACAGTGGTCCAGAGAGGGGGTGGAGTGCCCCCCAGTGCGGATATTTCAGACCCATCCAGACACAATCCTCTGCCATGTGCTCTGGGATGGCCCTGCTAGAGCAGGAAGGTGGGACCAGATGAGCCACTGGGGTCCCTTCCAACCTCACCCATCCTGGGACTCTGAGTCGTCCACGTCCACCAGCCCCATCTGGATTGCCAAACACTGTTGTCCCAACCAGGGACTCAATCCCTGGTCTGGAGCAGCAATTTACACACCAAGCTGATGGGTTTCTAGGTCTTTATTCCTTTTTCCATGGTGCCATGTGGTTGTCCCCATGTCCCAGTTCTGTTGCTGTCTCTTCGTGGACCTCCAGCTTCTTCACCAAGCTCAGGTTAGATCCAGAAGCTGTTCAGGATTCAGGAGGTACAGTCAGGAGGTCAGAGACCTTCTGCTCACCAGGTCTGCTCCTGGAGGTTCTGTAGCCTCCCAGACACCCCTGCCCTGCAGACCCAGCTCTGCCAGCCCAAGGAACCCACCTTGTGTCCCTCCTGCCTCGTCCTGCCTGAGGCTGTCACCTAGGGCTGGAAGGCAGATCTGGTTCAGGGACAGCTCCAGGACCCCCCACACCCAGCCAGGAGCACAGACAGGGCTGCAGCCAGGCAGGGAGGAATGTGCTGCCACAGGAAAATGCATCCTTGCTTGGAGATACTTACTGAGGGGATCGTCGTTGGACCATTTCCGTAACTGGTTCATCTGCAAGGCCTTCATGCACTGCTCCCGGGCAATTCTGTATGGCTGCAGGTTTAGCAGGACCTGCTTTGCTCGTGGGGTCCTGCAAGGCAGGGACAGATTCTCCTCTCACAGCCTGGCAGGAATCCTGCCTGGCCCAGCTCCTGCTGCTCCACGTTCCCTTTGGCCCCACCACCCCCTTCAGCACATGGGACACCAGGAGCAGGGGCTACCCCAGGGCATGCCCTTGTCAGGGGCTGTCCAAGGGACCCTACCCAGCCCAGAGCTCAGGGCTCCACCTCCTTGATCCTAAAGGAGTCCCTCCTACCTGCTCAGCCCCCCTGTTCCTAACAAGCACTCGTACCTTGGCTGTGGTCTTCTCTGAGGGGACAGTGTCTTCTTCTCCTTTGTCCCTTCTGGGGATAAAGCAGCAGCCACCCCTGCCACAGCAGCCACCCTCTCCTTCCTTAGCCTTTCAAATCCTCCAGGAGAGAATGCAGCAGCCTTCTCCAGGCCCCCCTTCTCTGCCAGGGATGGAAGCTGTTACATGAAGCAAAGGGAAGGCAGCTCAGACATTTTGGCAACAATAAGAGTCCCATCCTGCAGCCCATGACCCAAGGGACAGTTTGGATCCCTCCTCTGTCCCCTAGAGTTCTTGGCAGTGACCCTCTGCTTCCTGAAGAAGTCTGGACACCACAGAGGTTCAGTTCAGTGAAAGATTCCTGGCAACACAGCGCAGAATGATGAAGTTGTTCCCAGGACTGAATGGAGGACCCAAAAGACATCCCAGCATGGGCAGATCCAATGAGATCCTTCCAACAGCCTCCCTGCAGTGCTGCAGGACATGATCCTACATCCACGTAACACACCTTGACACGTTTTCCCTGCCTGGTGGGAGCTGCCAGCCCAGCTTTGGCTGCTTCCATCTCCTCGGCGGCTCTGCCCTTCTTCACAGAGTTCTCAATTGGAGGCAGCAAACTGCAAAGATGCCAACAAGCGTTTTCTCTGAGAGAAACAGTGAGAACATCCTCTCTGGTGTTTTTCCAGGCCTCTCCAAAACATTGCTGCCCACTTCCCACGCCATGGGAAGGGCCAAGGACTAGGGCATGTGCCCATATCTGCTCTCCATAAGTGCAGGCAGCACGGCCAAAGGTGACAGCTCCTCACACCTGTCCAGGAGCATGGAATTACCTAAAGTCAGCTCTCCCAGACTCTCACCTCTCTCTCTGCACTCCACCATCAGCCTTTTTCTTTTCTCTTCCCGTCACTTTCACATCACATATCCGACTTGGAGAAAGGCGCGGACGAAGAAGGAGGCGTTGGCTGGGAAGGTTTCCTGAAGAAGAAAAAGAAGAAGCTCCTCTCAACTGCATCTCCAGAATGCTTTGGACATGAGGGATGTCCCAGCCTTCCTGTCCCAGCCCAGTCTCCTTCCCTGAGGGCTGTCCCACTGCTTCCTTGGGTCCCCATTCAGAAAAAGAGGGACCTGCTGGGACAATTTTCTGGCAGGAGACAGAATTCCCTTTGGCATGGAGGATGTCAGTTCCTAGGAGGGAACGTACCCGGAGTCGTTTGGTGCTCGGTGTTGGTTTTGCATGTTGTGCCAGTGCCTTGTAGGTAAACACTTATAGGATGTGGCTGGGACTTCCCATCTGCCTGCACAAAGCTGCAAAGAAGGTGGTGACAAGTCTGAATAAGGGCAGTGGAGTCCATGGCAGCCTCTGGGAAGAAGCTGTTCCCAGGTTATCACTTTTCCAAAGGAAACATAACACTGGAGCACGGGCAGAAGAGTCTCCCTCCACAGGGCTCCTCTCAGGCAGGTCTGGGATCCCAGAGATGCTTTCCAGAGAAAACAAACCCGCAGTGACTGAGAACATCCCAGGCTCTGGGGCCTGTTGGTTCCCAGTCCTTCTCAAAAGACAAGGAAGGAGCTGGTGAAGCTGTCTGCTCCATGGCCCCCAGCTGTGCCTCCAGTGGTCTTTCCCACTGAGGTGGAAGGTAAAGCAGTCCCTCTTCCCAGGGCATCCACCTGAAGACACTCCCCAAAGAAGCCAGAATGGCCGTGGCCCTTGCACCATTTCAATTCTACCTCCAAAATGAAATACATCCAAGGATTCCTCCCACGTGGGAGGAGCCAGGACCAAAAGGTGTTGCTGATTTTCACCCTTCCATGTACAGAAACAATTGCACTCACTGCGGCAGCACAAAGACACCTCCAGGAGGAAACTGGGAAATGTCCTTTTCCGTGTGGGCGATGAATAACGGCTTCAGATTTGGTGACTGCAACAGGGACAGACATGGCAGGATCCACAGGGAATTTACCTGCTGTTCACAAGGCACAAAACCCCTCTTCCTCTCCTAGCCCCAGCTGCCTCCCCTCAATTCCCAGCTCTCTCTCCACCACCCTGTGCCCCTACATTGTCCCAAATCCATGAACATCCATCCCCACCACCTCAGCGTTTGGGACAACAAGGCCAGCAGCTTCTCCAAGAGCCAAAGCCCACAGCTAATTCCCTGGGAGCAGCATGGCAGGCTCAGCTTCAGGACCATGGAAAGCCACCCAAGGGCACGGCTGTGTCCCCAGGAGTTTGAGGGCACGTGAAATAGGTGCCAAACTCACCTGGAGCAAACTGTCTGCCACGCTCTGGGACTGAGCCACCTCTCGGACCAAGCCTTCAAAGAACCTCATGGCCACGTGTTTTCCCCGGCAGACCAGGACGCCGATGTCCTTGAAGACAAAGTCCAAGTTCTGGCCACTGGACAAGGCCCACTCACAGATCTTCAGCGTGGCCTTGACGCACGTAATGATGGTGGCTTTGGACTTGTGCAGGCGCAAGGCCACCTCAGCACAGACCAACTCGTCCGCTTTGGAGAGCCCTGTGGAGAAACCACCCAACACAAAGTCACTCACTCAGCCCTTCTGTGGCCCCTTGAGAGCCCCCCAACCCCTCCCACCACAGTGACTCTTCACCCAGCAGCAAATGTCCTGCTTCTGTGCCATGAGCCCCAGTCCCTGCACTGCCAGCTCAGCCACCACGCTCCAGCTCCACAGGACCTCTCAGGTGCTGCAGGAGCCAGCAGGAATGCTGGTTCCTGCCTTCCCAAGGTGGTGGGGACCATCAGTCCCTTCGGTGCCAGGAGATTCTCAAGAAGCACCTCCAGCAGCAGCCAGCGCTCCGTGGGCACCCAGAGAGCCCTGGAGGGACCCATCCATGTCCGAAGGGAGCACAGGGCTGAAGGGCTCATCTTACCAGACACGGGGCTTTTCCCATGGAGGAGCTTCTCCCCCATCAGAAATGGCTTGTTCAGATTAAACTCCAGACTGTCTGCCATGAAACCTTCTCCTTCTCCGTGCCAGATGGGTCTTTTCATGATGTGGAGGGTACCCAGGCCCATCAGCCCAACTCTCTGGAAGCAAAAGCAGGCAATCAGAGGGCAAACAGGAGGGAAGGCAAAGGGTGATCCGTGGCCTTTCCATCCCTGCAGCTCCAAGGCCTGAGATGGAGTCCCCACAAAAGCTTTGGAGAAGAGCCTTTCACTCCAAATGGTTCCTCACTCTCTCCTCTCCAGGACCTGCAGGGTGCAAGACATGTGGGGAAAACTCCCAGAGCCTGGGGAGGCCCAAGGAGTGCAGGAAGGTCTGGGATGGCTGGAAAGGAGGATCACTCCATCCCAGCCATCCTGGGGAAGACTCCAAAGAGGAAATTAAATATTCTTCTACTCAAGCATTGCTTGACTTCCTGCCTGTGCTCACAACAGGTCTCTGACTAAAATGCAGGGTCTGCCTGACACTTCTGCCCTCTAGGCTGGCTGAGGGCAGACAGGATGGGGAAGGATCAGGAAACCCCCCATGGTCTTGAGGGAGGACCATGAGGAAAGCAGCCCCACCTTCTTCAGCAGCAGGTCTTGGTGATAACACTCAGACACAGAATCCCAAACTTTAGTGATTTCTGTCGGGAGAAAGAGTTGTGCTGAAGTTATGAAGTTCATCATCCTCCCTTCACTTTCCTAGTGTCAGATCCCCTTCTCCAAAGGGACCCTCTCCCTGGGCAAAGAAACCAACACATTCCCACCCCCGGGGGCAGGAGGGTGCCAGGATTTTGGGGGAGCTCAAGGCTTTACCATCCTTGTTGAAGTACACAAGATCTGGAGACAGTGTGAGCAGGAAGCTGGAGAAAAGCTTGGTCATGGCTGCAGCTCCTCCTGCCTGACTTCTTTCTCTCCTGCTGTCCATCCCACCATGGCCTTAGGATGGGAGGCCTGGTGGGACAGAGAGGCACCACGGCTGTGCTGGTCTCTCAGGGAAGTGGTGTTATGGTTCCATGGAGGCAGAATGTCCCATTGTGACCTCACGTGTGTCACCAAGGGGCTGCAGAGCCCCACACAGACACAGACACCCCCCTGTCCCCAGGGGAAGGAGGCTGCACTCCTCATTTTGAGGGGCTGTCCCCACCCAGCCACTGCCCTTTCCACTGCCACTGCTGAAGTGGCTGGAAAATGGGATGGAAATGGATTTGGAATGATTTACACAGATACTGTCACACTGATAACTGCTGCGTTACGAGTTTGGGGTTTGGCAGAAAACAAACCTGATTTCCCAGCTCATCCTGAGGGATCAGAGGGACTGGAAGCAGCAGGGCTGAATTCCTGACAGGAGCCAGTTCCACTTGGCAGGTCTGGTCACATCCAGTGGAACTTTCACAAACAGAAATGCACCAACAGTGCAGTTTATTGAGCAGCAGGTTACAGACTCTTGTTAGACTGAGAGTGATAAATGCACTGGACCCACAAAAGCTGTGCAGGAAAAATGTTCCCAGGAATTCTCTGATGCATCGGAGGCACAAATCTTCACTAAGGGGTGTCCATGCTTTGGGGAGGAGGGAGGAGCATCCAATTTATCTGGAAATGAGGGATATCAAGAGCCATAACGAGAGAGATTACAAAAGCTCTGGGTCTTGGCAAGGGCAGAACAGAACGTGGCAACTGAGCAGCACTCCCTCATCCCCCTGGCAGATTCCAAGGACAGGGATTATCTGGCTTCTGCCTGATAACCCATCACCCTCACACCTAGATACTCCCATCAGCACATATCCCATGGAAATCCCTTGTGTCACACTGTGGGCCTCATTCCTACACAGGCACAGAACTGCAGCACAGGATACTGTTGTTTGCAGGGTCAGGAGGTGATGGGCTTCAGTCATCAGTAAGTTTCCATCCTGGCCAGAATCCAAGTTATCCAAAATATTTGGAAATAGTTTTCAAAGCTGCAGCAACAATGGTGCCATTCCACTCAGGCTCTGACTCAGGCAGGGAGCATGTGCAAAGTGCTGTGGGTAGGATGGGGGTCAAACCTCCTGCTCTCTGTGGTCCCAGTGTTCAGAATATTCCTTGGTAGGAGTTGTTGGGCATCAAGCAGAAGAACGAGGCCATGCCCTGCTCCATGTTCCTCTCAACACCACATCAACACAACCCAGGGGACTTCCCTCTAGTTCTGTATCTGCACCATGGGCCCTGTCACATCTGGAGCTTTGCATTTTCTTCCCTGTTTTATGCTTCCAGCACTGGGGAGGTCCCACTTCAAGTACTGTGGTTGTTTTGGGCCCCTCGCACCAGACAGACCTGGAGGCACTGGAGGGTTGTGGAAAATGGCCCATCCTGTTGTGTGGGCACAGAGCTGCTGTGAGGTGAGGGAAAACTGATGGAGCTGTTCCAGGGCATCTCTGAGGTGGGATAACCCAGGCTCTTGGGTTAATACAGCCCTTGGAATGGATGAAAGGACACTGAATGATTGCTGTGTACACACACACATACATACATATCTATTTTTATATATATATGTCACATTTATTTTAACACTTTGGTTGCAATGCAAGTCACCTACGTAGCCATTGTTATTTCCTTTAGAAATACACCAATATAAAAGTATAAAAATAACACTTTAGAAAATACATGAGGAAAAGAAAGAAAAAAAAGAAAGGATCAGAGTAGAGAGTGGAGAGGAAAGGTCAAGACTTGGTTATTGCAATCTCAGTGTCCACAGTCAAAGTGGTGGTCACAGTCTGGTTCCATCAGGGGTAGAAGCTCCAAAAATCCAAAGTTCAGTAGGTTAATTCAGGCTCAGTTGGAACACCCAGGTACCTTTCCTGGGGTCAGGAGTTTTACATTGCCAGGGCACAGCCAGAGGGATGAGGATGCACTGAACCCCCAGGCACTGCTCACACACACTGGGGTGTGCACAGCCCAGGGCTCTGTGACACAGAAAATCCCATGGAGAGGTTCTGTGCACCCCAAAAGGCTCCGTGAGGGCTGTGGGGAGCCCAGACAGGCACTGCCAGGGACCAGGGGTGCTTGGGCATGGCACAAAACAAACCAAGGGGTGGGGATGCCCCCCAGAATGGACACCAGGGCTTGGGATACTCCCTAAGGGACAGCCAGGGTGCAGAGGGGGCACACTGAGGGGTCCAGAGCTGCCTAAAACACACAGGGAGAGGCCAGGAGGCACAGAGAGGCCCATGGAGAGGCACAGCCATGCTCTGTTCCCGCCTGATCTGCAGCTCTGATCCTGCTGCTTCCCTCCTGGCATCCTCAGACTCCCTCCACTCCCTGTTTTGCATGGCCTGATCTCTCTCACTCCCACCCAAGCATGGGACCATCAATTCCAAATGTATCTCCTCTCCTTCCCTGGATGCTCATATCCCTCCTCTCTTCTGCCCCTATTCCATTTCCCTCTGCTCTTCCATCTCCCTCAAGCTCATTTCTGACCCCTCTGCCCTTCACATCCTGCCCCCAGAGCTTCTCTTTCCTCCCATCTTCCTTCCCTCCACATCCCCACCCTCTCCCCAGTGCTCAGATACCCCGTTCACCTCTGCACAAAGCAAAGGGAATGCTGAGAGTGTGGAAAAAGGGCAATGACAGCGTGTGGGCATGGACTGTGGGCACAGGGTAAAAGGGAACATCTCTAAATTTTATTTATCAAAATTATAGATTTGGACTGGACAGGGTTGAGGGAAGACACCCTCCTTGAAGAAACCCTGTAATAGGTTTATCTACAAATTCCAGCCTCCTGGGATCACACATACATTTACAGGTGAACAGGTAAAAAAAAAATAAAAAAAATAAAAGGTGAAGAATCATTTAGTTGGAAATAAGGGGGTTAGTCCATTTGGCAATTCTCTTTCTCTGTCAGCCTGTCTTCTCTTTCTCTGTCATCCCTGGCCCCAGGAGCCCAAGCCCCGTGGCTCAGGGAAGGCTGCAGCAAAATTGCAGGTCAGAAATTGTCAGAGCCCAGGCTGCAGCAGCAGAGTTCAGAAGTTGTTGGAGCCCAGGCTGCAGCTCAGGGAAGGCTGCAGCAAAAATTGCAGGTCAGAAGCTGTCCGAGCCCAGGCTGCGGCTCTCCTCCTGCAGGGGTGAGGCTGCAGGGGCTGTGCTCTCCCCGGGGGAGGCCACGTTCAGGTACCCAATCTCTGAAGGCTGCCAGGGGGACAGGCAGAAGGAGGAATCCTGGCTCTCAGCCTCTCCCTCAGGCTTCGTGTTCTGCGGGGCCTTCAGGGCGCCGAGGGGCTCTGCGAGATCTCGGGGTGGGAAGCTGGAAATAAATTTCCATTTTCTGTCATTCTGTGAGTCTGAGTAACCCTTACCCAACATCTCTGAGCAGCACAGAATGATGTTGATGCTCTTCTCTTGGACCAAGGCACCTCCTCCAGGCAGCCCAGAACCTGCTTGGACCATCCTTCACCCCAACAGTGACCAAACCCCCAGAGCTGCAGGGTCCCTCTGCCTTCCCCTCATCTGGTTTGGCAGGGATTGGAATGGAGGAACACATCCCAGAGTGATGTGGGACACGGCTCTGGCCATACCAGGACTCCAAGTCTCACCACCTCTTGTATAATGACTCCTCCAAAGCCCCTGAGCAGCAAATTTCCTAAATCCCAGAGTGTTCCCCAAAATATTCTGAAAATTGGACTTCTCCATCCCATCAGCTGACAGGTTTCAATACCATTTAAATGCATTTTAATACTATTTTCCCTAAAATTTGACCAAAAACTAACAAAAAAGGCCTCTGGGAGGTGAAAGCACAGGGTGGAGCAGCCAAAATGCTCAAGTGGCTCCTCCCTGGCTCCCCCTGCCCCCCACGGTACCTGGCACGAGGAGGTGGCAACACCTTACTCTGTGGTAGGCGTTCAGAGCCAGGAATAATCTTCGAGTCCTGGAAGGAGGAACAGAGACTTTGAAAGGAGGAGGCACAGGTCAGACACTGAATTCCAACAATTCCTGGCCTTGCAAGCTCTCCCCCAGCTTCACTGAGAGTCCTCTCCACCAACTGCAGCCCCACAGAGGTGCTCATCAGGGATTTGGTTGTCCTTTGGGTGTAAATTTATACTCAAAATTCCAAACCAAGCCCCACCAAGGCCAGGTGAGCCCCAAACAACCCTTTCCCCTTCAACAGCTCATTTCCAGCCTAGCTGGAAATTAAAAATCTCTCCAAATTAAAAGTGCCACAAAAATCCTAAATCCACCTGGTTGATTTGAAAAACCTTTGATTTCCTGGATTTTCTCCATTTCCCCTGCCAAAGTTCTTCATTAACATGGCCAACTTTCACCCAGCTGAGGAATTACTGCTCAGCTTGGCCTGAGGAGGGAACATTCTCAATCTCACTCCTAGGGCTGGTTCTCCTTTCCTAGAGCCAACTGTGGGAATCAAGAGCTTCCCTCTGGCTGCTCTGGCAGGTCTGGGACCCTGGCAGGGGTCAGAACCCCCCTGGACAGAGCCCCCAGAGACACTGGCTGTGATCTCTGTCCATGGAAAAGAGTTTTCAATCTTACAGGATGAATTACAAGCTCTGAGTGTTTGATATAAGTAATAATTAAGTGTGGGACGGGTGCAAAAGTAAAATTTTAGGATTCTAGATTATGGGTTCAGAGGGGACAAGGTGGAGGAAATTGGGTGTGCCTTGTCCTTTTTCTCCTTCTTCCTGCCCTCCATGTTTCACTGTGGTGTTGGCATTTTTCTGTTGGTTCAGGCTGGGGACACACTGTCCAACGTAGGTGACAGATATTGGCACGTTATTGTAAATCCAGCACAGGTAGTTTGTGGTATTTAATGTTTGTACCATCCCACTGAGGGCAGAGCCCCACACGCTGCCCTGCAGGACAGAGCTGCGGCAGGGCAGCAGAACATGTTAGAGATAAACAGAATAAACAACCTTGAAACCAGCACAGATGAATTATGGCTTCTGCTTTGGCAGTGGGGCAGAAAGACAGAGACTTTCTACAACCTCAGAATCATCAATACCTCGGATTCCAACAGCCAAGTTTGCAACTGAGGCCTTGGATCAGCTCTAAATGTGCCAAGTGATATTCCTGTCCCTGTGGAAGCGCTCCTCACAAAGCCTCTCCTCACCATATCTGTCTCCACCTGCTCTGTGGGAGCCCTTTCCATCTCAAGGGATGGATCCAGCTCTTCCCCAGCCCCTCAGACATCAGCTCCTGTGATCCCTGCTGGTCCCAGCCCTCCTGGGCTCTCACCTCTGTGTTGGGAGTGGGGCTGCTCCTGGCAAGGCGCTGGGAGGAGGCCACATGGCTGGAGAGCTGGAGCTTGTCCTGCAGCCGGGCATTCTCCTCCTCCAGGATCTTCCCTCTGGCCATGGCACAAAGCACAAGTTATTTTCCTTCCAGCCATGTTCCATTTTCAATCAGGAATTTCCTTTTCCAACCTCAGAGCTGTTGCTTCTCCACAGCCTCCAGCTCAATGGCGAGGTCTTGGATGGGAAAACGGGGTAATTACATCTCTAATTACAGCTGTGAAAGCTGTGCACCAATGGCTGGGGCACAGGCTAGACTTCCCTCTGGAATTCTTAAGAGAAAGAGGCACAAAAGCAGGAAAAGGGGATGGACAGCAGCAGGGGCTCACCTGCTCTGCAGGGAGGGAATCCCAGACCGGAGGCTCCAAGTGGACTCCTCCTGGTCTGATATTTTTTGGAGGAGCCGTCGCCTCTCCTGAAGTAATTTCTCATTCTCAGCAGTGATCTGGGCAATCAGCATCTTCCCCTGAGGGTGGTGGAGGAGGAAAGAACAACCACCAGTTACTCTTGACTCTTCTGTCCTCTCAAACCTCAGGGCTTTCCCAAGGGACCACCATCAAGGGTGCCAGCTCCCAAAAGCTTGGAGGCACCAGCCCTGAGAGTGCTCAAGAACGTGGATGTGGCACTTGGGGACATGGTTTAGTGATGGTTGCACTTGATGAAGATCCTCACCTTCAAGGTCTTCTCCAGCCTCAATGACTCTGCAATACCCTGTTTGATGTAAAATACCCCAAAAAGAGGCTCTGGGGTCACTTCCCAGCAGGAATTGCTGAGGCAGAGGAACACGGAGCCCAGCCAGTGTCAGACTGGGATTTGAGGATGTGGCTTCCCCCAAGGGCAATCCTGAGCCAGGAATTTCCTTTTGGCTTTTGTTACAGCAGGTTGGTGCCTCTGGTCCCTTCCTGCAAGGAGGGACTTTGGGCAAGGGCCTGGAGTGCCAGGAAAAGGGGGATGGCTTCCCAGGGGCAGCGTTAGGTGGGATATTGGGAAGGAATTGTTCCCTGTGAGGTGGGCAGGCCCTGGCACAGGTGCCCAGAGCAGCTGGGGCTGCCCCTGGATCCCTGGCAGTGTTGGACAGGGCTTGGAGCAGCCTGAGGTAGTGGAAGGTGTCCTTGCCCATGGCAGGGGTGGTGTGAGATGAGCTTGAATGTCCCTTCCAACTCACATCGTTCCCTGAATCCATGATCACTTTCACAGAATCACAGAATCACCAGGTTGGAAGAGACCTTAAAATCATCGAGTCCAACCCAGCCCCAACACCTCAACTCAACCCTGGCACCCAGTGCCACATCCAGTCTTGTTCTAAACACATCCAGGGACCACCTCCCCAGGGAGACCATTCCAGAACTTTATCACCCTTTCTGTAAAAAACTTTTCCTAATATCCAACCTGTATTTCCCTTGGTGCAGCTTAAAGCTGTGTGCTCTGGTTCTGTCAGTGCTGCCTGGAGAAAGAGCCCAGCCCCACCTGAGCACAGCCACCTTTCAGGAGCTGTACAAGTGATGGGGTCACCCTGAGTCTCCTTTTCTCCAGGCTGGGCACCCCCAGCTCCCTCAGTGGTTCCTCACAGGGTTTGTGTTCCCAGCCCCTCTCCAGCCTCGTGGCCTCCTCTGGATGTGCTCAAACATCTCCATGTCCTTCCCAAACTGAGGGGTCAGGACAGGGACAGCGCTCCAGGTGGCAAGTACAGAGGGAGAATGAGCTCCTTGCTCCTGCTGGCCACACTCTTCCTCACACAGGCCAGCATGCCACTGCCTTCTTGGCCACCAGGGAACACTTTTGGAAGCAGCAATGCCCCTGCAGCCTCCCCTTGCAGGAGAAGCCTTGGATGTGCCCTCTCACCTTTTCCACTTGGAGTTTTGACTCGCTGAGCTCATTTTCCAGCTGTTTGATCCTGCTGTCCCTCTGCTTCACCTCATGGATGAAGGTCTCCTTGGCCCTGCGAATCCTGTCCTTGTGCCTGAGCTGCATCTCGTTGTATTTCCTGGGAAAACAGGGACAGCCACCAGGCTGTGAAAGGCATTTTTGCTCAGAGCAAGAACATCCCAGGTTTATTCAGGCTCCTCAAAGTCCAAACTCAGAGCCTCAGCCATCCCCCAGCTTCTCCTTCCTGCCCAGAATGAGCACATGGATTGTCTGGATGCTTTCACTGATCAGTTTGGGGGTGTTTTTGTTGGAAAATTTAATGTCAACCAAATGGAAATTGATAAAGGAAAAGGACCCAAAGCACTTCCAAAAGTGACTCCCAGCTTTACAAACCCTTGTGCTCATCCCTCCCAGCTCTTTAAAACAAACAGGATTATAAGGGCACCAAAACTGGAAGTTCCAAGGCAAAGATAAGTTGGTTTTGTGGGTGGGGATGTGGATGGTTAAGGGAATGACTTTTTTGAATGAGAAGAAAATTTAGGAAAACCCTCTATGATCACCAAGTCCCACCATTCCTCCAGCACAGCCAGGGCCACCCACTAATCATGTCCCCAAGTGCCACATCCACAAATTGGCTTGAAAATTAAGAATTCTAAACAGCAATGGTCAGGTTAGGAGGAGCAAGAAGAGCCACTTCAGTGGGAGCTTCTTTGAGGTAGGACACTGAGGACAAATATTTTTCCTTCCTGACACTTCCGATTTTTGCTCTTCCCTTCTTGTTAATTTAGGCAAAGTTCTTGTTTATTTTTATCCAGTTGAGATAGAAGTGAAAATAATACCAAAAAAAAGAAGAGAAATTTCTACCATATAAGGGATATTTGCCCAAGTTTGCTCATAATTCATGATAAAAAAAGCTACTCTGCTTCAAATTAACCAAAAGGGCTCTGGGGAGAAAGGAGCAGCTCCAGGGAGAGTCTTTGCTGACACCAGACCCAAACCAACACCCAGACCATCCTCCTGTGCTGCCTTCAGCCACCAAGGAGAGCAGGAAAGCTCACCTGGAGTGCTGGGAGTGCTCACCTGGAGAAGAGAAGGCTCCAGGGAGAGCTCAGAGCCCTTCCCAGGGCCCAAAAAGGCTCCAGGAGAGCTGAGAGGGACAGGGGACAAGGGATGGAGTGCCAGGACAAAGAGAAATGGCTTCCCACTGCCAGAGGGCAGGGTCAGATGGGACACTGGAAGAAAATCCTTCCCTGTGAGAGTGGGCAAGGCCTGGCACAGGTGCCCAGAGCAGCTGTGGCTGCCCCTGGATCCCTGGCAGTGCCCAAGGCCAGGCTGGACAGGGCTAAAAGCCTGAATATTGGTCAGGGAAGTCCACACCAGAGCCAAATCCAACAGCAGGCCCAGGCAGGTTTTTGGGCTTTACCTGACATAGAGATCCTTCTGGTTCAAGAGTCGGACACCTTCCTCATACAGGGCTTTGTTCTCCTCCTTCAGCAGTGCCAGCTGCTCTGAGAGCTTCTGATTCTCCTTCTGGCACTGCACATGCTGGAAAAGAGCTGGTTTTAACTTGTGTATGGCCTCCCACCTGCCTGGTCTCCAAAGCTTCTCTCTCATCAATCCCAGTGGTTCCCACTCCAGCCAATATCCAGCCAGCCCCCCAGACCACTCCCTTCTCCCCCTAACAAGCAGTGGGATTTTGTTGCAGAGAGAGGCAAATGAACCCTCCAAAACAATGGACTCTGCCAAAATTTCCAAGCAAAAACTCCAAGTTCTGCAAGATAAATGGAAGGAAGAAACCACCAAGCCTTCCTGTGCCCTCAGAGCTGCATCCCAGGAAACCAGCTGGCAGTGGGACACTGCTTTTCCTCCAGCTCCTGTTGAAATCAGTGAGATCTGCAAGGGCTCAGCCCTGATCAGATGTTCCCAATTCCAGCAGATTCCAGCTCCTGATGGTCCTGTTGCCCCTTGTATGATGAGGAACTCACCTCACCAGCATCCAGCTTCTTCTCATCCTCCAGGACATGCAGGGTCTTGGCCTGGAGCTCCACGTGCATCTTGGCCAGTGACGCCTCTGAATCCCGGGAATGCCGGAGCTGCTGCCTCAGCTCCTCCACCTGCTGCTCCAGGAGCCTCCTGGGAACACCATGGGGTGACAGTGAGAGCCAGAGGGGGATGTGCCTCCTGCCCCCAAGGTGTCTGTCTGTCACCCAAAACAGCCCCTTGCTCCTCTTGCCCTGGCTGACATGGAGGGGACAAAGGAATCCCAGCTGTGTCGTGTCCCAGTGACACAGGAAGGGGGCTGATGCACTGGGATCATTCCCAGTGACACAGGGAAGGGGGCTGATACACTGGGATCATTCCCAGTGACACAGGGAAGGGGGCTGATGCACTGGGATCATTCCCAGCTGCACAGGGAAGGGGGCTGATGCACTGGGATCATTCCCAGTGACACAGGAAGGGGGCTGATACACTGGGATCATTCCCAGCTGCACAGGGAAGGGGGCTGATACACTGGGATCATTCCCAGTGACACAGGGAAGGGGGCTGATGCACTGGGATCATTCCCAGCTGCACAGGGAAGGGGGCTGATGCACTAGGATCATTCCCAGCTGCACAGGGAAGGGGGCTGTTGGCATCACTGCACTGACAGGAGAAGCCATGGCCCTTCCAAGGCAGATAAAGCCTCCAATAACCTTTTAAATCTCAGGAAGGAGGAATCCCTGGAGAACTTCAGGGATAAGGCAGGTCCAAAGGGAAGACAAGAGGTGAAAGCAGTGGTTTGGGTGTCCCTGAACTCTCCCAGGGCAGACAGGAGCTGCTGGCACAGCACAGAGACCTTTTCAGCTGCTCCTCGTGAAGTTCCTGCTGCACTCGAGCTTCATTTTCCCGAGCTTCCTTCAGCTCCTCCTCCAGAAGCTTCTTATCAGAAACACGAGCCTCTGCCAGCAGCAGCTGGTGCTGGGAATCCTTCAGCTTTTGCTGGAGTTTTGAAACCTTGGGACAGAGATTAAACTTTCTGAATGTACAGGCCAGTGTCTGAATCAGATCCCTCTGATTCCCCAGTGTCTGAGGCATGGGAAGGGAAGATTTCCTTGTTTTGGCTCTAAGTGCATTAAAAGCAAAAGCTTTGGACTGGCTACCAGATTTTGGACCAAACACTATGTCATCAATTCCCAGCAATCTTTTTTCAACCCAATTTGATCCTGCACACATCAAAAGAGAATCCAGTGATTTCTGCAGGAGCATGGCAGAAGCAGTGCCATGGAAAACACAAAGTTTTGGAATTTTCCAGCCAGTGAACAGTAGGAAATCCACTCAGCAAGAAAAGATGGGGGTTCCCTGTGCCTGTCAGCCCCACTATCAGTATTTCAGAGATATTGAGTTACCAGACATGGCTTCTACTACCTTGATTATGCTCCTGCTCATTACAGGCTTTTTTTCCTACAATATTAAGCCAAGGGATCACAAAAAAGGAATGTGGGGAAGCAAACCTGCTTGCTTTCTGCACTAGAGCTGCACAGAAGTGTCAAACATACCCCAGCTTACACTCACCTTCTTTTGTGCTTCTCCTGCTCTGGATTTCTCCTGGGCCAGCCTCTCCTGGAGGCTGCTCCGGAGCTTATCAGCCTGGGAGCACTTGGACAGCTCCAGCTCCAGCTCCTTGACCTTCTGCTGGCTCCTGTCCCACTGTGCTGAGAGGGAGGAACATGTTTCCGTGGTGTCCAAGAGTTTGGCCCGGGCCTGCTTCAGCTCAGTTTTGACCTGAGATCCCAGAGAAGAAATCAGATTTATACTTCAGCATAAATCAGCTGGAGTGGCTTGGCTAGGGAAGGGGAAGATGGTTCCAGAAAGAGGAACCACAGAGGAAGTAAAGCATGTTTTATTTGGGTGCAGTGAAATTTGTCACAGAATCCCAGAGCATTTTTGGTAGGAAGAGGCCTTAAGGATCACCTGGTTCCAACGCCCTTTATGGGCAAGGACACCTCCCACTATCCCACGTTGCTCCAAGCCCTGTCCAACCTGGCCAGGGATATTTCTGAGGATGAGGCAGCCACAGCTGCTCTGGGCCACCTGTGCCAGGGCCTCACCACCCTCCCAGGGAAGGATTTCCTCCCAATAGCCTGTGGAACGCTGCCCTCTGGCACTGGGAAGCCATTTCCCCTTCTCCTGGCACTCCAGGTCCTTGTCCAAAGTCCCTCTCCAGCTTTCTTGGAGCCCCTTTAGGCCCTGCAAGGGGCTCTGAGGTGTCCCTGGAGCTTTCTCCTCCCCAGGTGGAACCCCCAGCTCTCCCAGCCTGGGGCAGATGGAATTCAGCCCTCATGGCCATAATCCCCATGGAGCTGAGGCAGAGCACAGTGGGGAGCCTGGCTCTGTCCCTACCTTGGTGCATTCCTGCTGGAGCAGCAGGTTTTGCCTCTGGAGGTCGGCGTTCTTCTCCCTCTCGTACCTGAGCTCCCTCTCAGCGGAGCTGCACAGGTTCTGCACCCGCCGCAGGTCCTGGCGCAGCTGCTGCAGCTTCTCCTCCTGCTGCTGGAACCTCTCCTCAGACAGACCCTGCAGCAGCAGCACAGGCAGCACAGAAATTAACCTTAAGGCAGGATAAAGGTGATTAAGGAAGGCAGAAGACAGTGTGGGCAGGAAGGTGTGTAAAGCCTGGCATTTCTGTGTCCCTGCACTGTGTCCTGCTCCCTTCTCTGCTCCTGCAGGGCTTTAGGAGCCTTGTGGATGTGGCACCTGGGGACATGGCTTGTGGTGAACATGCATTGCTGGGTTAATAGTTGCACTTGATGATCTCAGAGCCTTTCCCAACCTCAATGATTCCATCATTCTCTCCATCACCTCAGAGAAACCAATACAACTCCTGAGGCTGAGGGGGAAGAGGTGATAACCTGGATGAGGGAACAAATCCCTGTTGAAACAAATCTGTGCAATCAAAGCAAAACCACTAGGTCACTCTGGATTCTTGTACCAGAGTCTCACTCAGGCATCCAAGCAGGAGTGACACAGCCAGCACAGCTCCCAGAGGGATCAGGAACAGGAGAAAGGTGAGTCCTGGCAGTGGGACAGGAACACAACTGGACAAAGCCTGGACACTGGGAGGTGTCACTGATGGTCTGAGATGGTTCTTGGGAGGTAACTGATCTCCTCAGCTCACTCACCTTCCCAGCACACACCCCAAAGCCTGGGCTGTGCCAAAGCCTTTCTTTCCAGCATCACTTTCAGCCATCTCTTCATCTGCATTCCCACTTTGCATCTTCACCTTCTGCTCTTGGAAGCAGAGGGAATTCACTGGAGACCAAATCTGCCTTCTCAGATAATCCCCAGGTAAGTTTCCCAAGCTGGAAAAAGTCTTGATCCAGCTCTGTGGGGTCTGGCAGTCAGTTGTCCTGGAGGTCCATCGGCTCCACTGGTTTTGTGGGTTTTCCCCACCTTCTTTTATCAGGATCCCTTCCCACATCCACTGCACTCCTTGTGTCTTGCTCTGCTCCACTCAGATAATTTGCTGCTTCTTGGATACAGCTGGACTCTGATCCTCTACTTCTCATTCCCACCCTGCCCGTACAGACCACCCTGTCCTCTTTTCTCTCCCGAATCTTTGCACAGAAGCTGAGCCCCCCCTCAGTCTCCCCATCCCACATTCTTCCATCATTTCCTCCCTGTCTGGCAGGGACACCTGCACCTCCCTTTCTCTTTCAGAGAAAGGTGAACAAATTCCATTTAAACAACTTATTTCTGCCATGTGTAATCAGTTCAGTTTATCCAAATCCCCACCACATCCAAAAGCACAGCACAAGGAAATTAACACATCCCTAATTTCCAACCATCACTCACACCACAGGGCTGGCTTCCAGCCCACTTTAATTACACTTTGACACTCAATTAATGACAAAAAGCAGGGAGCAGACGGCAAAGCTGCCCTTACCTGTTTAAGGCTCCCTTCTAAACTGCCTGCTGAGCTCTGCCATGGGAGAAACCTGTTCTCCCTCTGCTCCAAGGCTGGGGTCATCCTCCTGCTGTCTCCACTGGGGCCCTGCTCCCAGGCACTCCGGATGTCACATCTGAGCTGGGCAATTTCTTCAAGCAACATCCTTTTCTCTTCACTGCTCTCTTTGAGCTGCTTTTCCAGCTCCTCCTTCTTCTTGTTGCTCTCTAGTAATTCAGAGCTTGAAGGAGAAATAGTAAAGGAGAGAGATAACCACACAAATCCAGGGAAAACACCCTTAAAGGGGAAAAACTTGGGAGCTGATAGCCCAGTGAAACACTCCAGCACTTCGGGAGGCTCCAAAGGGGATTCAGTCCTGGGTGCAGCAGTTCTGGGCAAGGGTCAGTCTCCCTGGGACACTTCCCACAAAACCACGTGTGTCCAGAGGCTCAGCTGACAGGTTACAGGCTGACTAAGGAATCCTCACAAAGGCACAGGAGCTGCTCTGGACTCAAAGTCACAGGGAAGCACTGGAATAGGGACTCAGGTGTCCCAGTCCAGCTGCCTGACTTATCTTCACCCAAATTCCATCTCCATTTTCTCCATCCAAGACCAAAGCTGTGTCTCCCCCACCTCTGGAAGTGTCCAAGGCCAGGTTGAATAGGGCTTGGAGCAACCTGGGATAGTGGAAGCCATGGCAGGGGGTGGAATGGGATGGGCTTGAAGATCCCTTCCTCCCCAGCAGAGTCTGGAATTCTGTGATTCTATGTCCTGGATGTCCAGGCACAGGTTGTCCAGGCTGGAATCACCATCCCTGGAAGTTCAGAGCACCTGTGGAGGTGACACTTGGGGACATGTGTTAAGAGTGAACATGGCAGTGTTGGGAAACAGTTGGACTGATGATCTTGGAGGGCTTTCCCAGCCTGAGTGATTCCATGATTCCTCAGCAGCTCCCTGCTGCCTTCTCCTGGCTGTACTTTAGCCCAGTGCCAGGAACACAGGTCACTATAACCACACTGGATCTAACCCAAGCTTTTATTTACTAAGAACAGATGAGCACCTGAGCCCAGATGCTCCAGCTCCAAATTTCTCCTGCTCTACTCAAAGGGGGAGTCAGACCAGCACCTGCTGACACCTCCCCTCCAAATAACCCCAAATTCCAAGGGCTACCCATATCTCCAGTGGGACTAGGACTGCCAGCTGCTGCCAGCAGTGAGCCCTGAGGAGCCAAAACCCACAACAGGAGATTTTTGAGACCCCCTTAGTTCAACTTCAAGGGAAGAATCCTCCTCCCTGAAGACAGCTCCCATTTTCCAGCTCAGAATCTGGAAAAGCTGCAGAAAAAAATCTTTAATCCTGGCTGATCCTGACTAAGGAAAGTCACCAAAAACAGAGATGCTGACCCAAGGACAACATGAGGATGCCAGGCTCATTTTTGCCAGAAGCAGCCCCAGGGGGAGTTGGAAAAGGCTCAAAATTTAACTCAGCAAAGACAAGGAGCAGAAAATACCACAGGCTTTGTTAAGGTTTACCAGAGCAGTTCTTGTTCTTCCCTCAGGTTTTTGATCTGTTCTTCCAAAAACACTACTTTAGCCATCTGTTCCTCATAGGTCTTTGCATCTGCACGGGGATCTTCCTGTTTCTGCTCCACTTTGGGACTTTGTTCTCTGTCTTGCTGGACTTCAGAGGCCTGTAAGGTCAGAAAACACCATGACTTGGATTTCCTTTGCTCTAATTGAAATCTTTGGGGCCATACAGGGCAATCTGGGGACTCCAGCAAGGCATGGCTTGTGATTCTGTGGTTAAATCATTGCAGTTCTTCCCTGTCAAAGACACATGTGAGTCCTTTTTCTTGCATGGAAAGTCACTAAACTACATGGAAAGTGTCTAAACTACCACCAAGCCATGGTTCTTTATTTGATTTCATCCTACTGTGGCACAGCTGCAGCTCCCAGGGATTTACAGCAGATGCCAAAGCTCTTCACAAAAGCAGCAGCTCTTGGCAAACCAGGAGGGGCACAAAGTGTGGGCTGAGGTGGCTCTCACAGAGGTGCTCCAACTCTAACCCCAAACACCTCCCTGGGGATGGCTCCTCTGCTCCCAATGTCACCTAACCCTGTAACACAGGTAACAGCACACCCTGGACATGAAACTTGAGGAGAAGATGGCAAGAAAACAAAAGGGGCAGGAAAAGAGGAATGCACCAGGACAGAAGAACTCACAGCTGAATCCCAACTGGAGTCTGCCCAGTGTCAGATCTGCTGCTCACCTGTGATGGACCCAAATCCTTCAAACACAAACACCAACTTTGACTGCTAAAGCTTTTTAATCAACAGCTGTTCCTGAGCTTTCAATCCCAGGTATCTCTTGGTATTTCAATTCCAAGGCAGCTTATCTAGACCAGGACAAATTTGCTCATATTTGAGCAACACACCCCAGCAGCTCCTGCCTGCATCAGGTACCACAAGAACTGGGAATTCTTTCCATGTCTCACCTCTGGAGCTAGCAAAGCACTGTCTTTGTGTAGCTTCTCATGGGGTACAGCCACAGGATCCTTGCTGGCTGATGTTCTCTGGAGACTTGGGAAGGTGTTTATGTGGCTTGTGAGCTCTGAGTGGGAATCAGGCAAACCCTGGAGAGGTAACAACAGAGTCAGTGGATGAAACATACCCTGAAGGACAAGCTCAGGAAAAGATTTCTCCTCTTAATTGTCCAAAAATCTCTTAAAAACAAGGAGAGATTTCCATGTGACAGAACCCAATGATTTCATGCAAACCTTGTTTCCAGCACCGCTGGGAAATGATTCACTGCAGAACAGCTGCTCCATCCGAAAGGAATGAGCCCACGTGGGAAGTCAGGAATTCACCAAAGAGATGCAAAGGTCTCTATGCTAAAGGCTGTTTCAGTCTAACACAGGGCTCTGGATTCCATTCCTCCTGATCCCTTTGATGAAAACAGTCCCTCCTTCAGGGAGACCACTGGTGCCTGAATTCCAGCCAGACTTTTAGGGATGGATGATTTGGATTCAAAGATCCCTGGATCACAAGCAGGCTGAACTACTGGGAGGCAAGAATTCAAAAAGGACTCTTCCCATTCTGCCCACCAATCCCTAGATCAGACAATTCCTTTCCATGTGTGGACTGATAGACTGACCCAGCCTCTTCCTCCCAGCCAGGCTGTGCTGATCCCAAGCTTTGATCCTGAATTTCAGTGTGGATTTGTTGCAGCAGGATTAAGCCCTGGCCTCTAGATGCCACTGTTCCTCCAGCAGTGCCTGAGTCTGCAGAGTTCTGCCAACAGCTCAGGACTTTCATGGATTTTCACTTGGATTCAAGGAAGTGACAGGACTCACAAACTGATCTAAGGCTCTCAGAGTGATAAAAAATGGATTTGTCATGGCTCTGCCCCCGCCATTGCCATTCTCCCATTGCCAGGTCCCTTTGTCCAAGCCACAGATCTGTCAACCTCCTAAATTTTTACCCTAATTTTCAGCACTTGTCCTGGCAGCCCTTGGACAATTTTGCTGGCACCACTCCCTGTCCCTTCTCTGTGGCCCGGCTGGAAAACAAGAGTTCCAGCAACATTCCCAGCAGGGAAACCCCCAGGAGTTGATTTAGCACCTCAATTGGTTCAAGCCAAGTGTGCCAAGGCCCTTGGGGAAATCCCAGAAGTGCTGGGATCCCAGCAGGATGTTCACTTTGCTCTGGGGTGTTCAATTCCTGAAATGAATGCCTGAGTCTGAAAACTCCCACTCTGCCCTCCAGAGAATCAGGGTTTGGCTGCAAAGCTGGAATTACTGATTTGGTATTAGATTCACTGAAAGGAAAGGAAATTCTGGAGTCAGAGATGATGCCATGAGAGCAGCTGGATTGAAAACCCTCCACCAAAGGCTTGAAAGTGGCATCAAGAGGTGCCAGGCAATGAGTGTGGGGATGTTTTCATGGAGCAGCTGGCTCCTGCAGGGTCCCACCACAGGGCTGGACATACCTGGCTGCCCAGAGCCACCTTCTCAGCCTTCAGATCTTCCCTTAGCAACTCCAGCTCAGATGCCAGCTGCTTTCTCCGTTCTCTCCTCTCTCCCAGCTGACTTCCCAACTTGTCTATCGTTTCCTGACAGCTTTCCAACATCTGGAACAAGAAATGCTCAGAGTCACTTCCACAACATGGTTTTTTCTACTCAGATTGCAGGATATGTGTCTTCTGGAAACAAGGAGAGGAGAAAAATGGTTCTCAAATGTTTCCAGTGGGATTCCTACACCTCTCATCTGGGGCTCACAGAACCTTCACTGATTCAAAACACCTTGGGAAGCTCCTCTCCCATCTCTGTCTGCCTGACACACCAGGCAGATCCAATTGTTGGGCTGGCAAGGAACAAATGGACAGGAAAGTTAACCCAGAACCTGACGGGTATCAGCTTTAAATGTACCTACACATCCCCTGGTTTCACTAAACCCTAACCAAGAACTGAGCACCTTCACACAGGTAAAAACTTCACACTCATGGGGAGACAACAAACTCCTCAGCTGGCAGAGCTGAGGCAAGACAACTTCCTAAGGGGAGAGTTTTCATGGAGATCATGTTGGCTGCTTTCCTCCAGTAATCCATCCATCTGCATGAGCTGAGGAGCTACAGATCCTCAGGAGAGAGTGACAAAAAGCATGCCCAGGAAAGAGCCATTCAGATGCTCATTTAAAACATTTCTAAACAGAACAGTTCATTTCCCAAGGAAAAGCTCTCACCTCCTGCATCTCCTGAGCTCCAGATGTCATCTGCTCGTTCCCATTCATCTCACTTTTGTTCTTCTGCACCTCAAACAACTCTGTTTCCAAACTGGTGATCTGAACATGGACAAATTCCAAGTTAAAACCAAACCAGGACTCACAATTAAATGCACAACTACCCCTAGAGTGCTCCTTGTGCTGCTGCTATGGGATAAGGCCCATGTTGGAGCAAGGAACAGGAGGGGATGTGCATGGCCAGTTCCAGCTCATCCCTCATCCTGCTGCTTCCAAGGAGGAAGGAACCATCTGGACTCAAGCCAGAAAAACATGGAATTCTGCTCCACAAAAGGAGTGGAACAACCCAGGCACAAGGTGAAAACTCAAAGCTTCCACACATTGTGGTGCTCCCCTGACATGGAGGACCCCAAGGCACCCCAGTTTAGGTGCTGGGTCATCCTTGTTCCCTGTGCTCCAAGTGCTGATCTTATCCAAGTTTCTGCTCAGCCTGGTCCATCAGGACTCATCCTGGTCCCTTCACTGCTCATTGGAAGTTTTCAGTAGCTCCTGAAAGGCTCCAAGGACTTGGGATTTGGGACAGCAAAGCACTGATCTCTGTAACCACTGACTTTTGCTCCTCCTGGCACCTCCTTGCAGGTGGGAGTTTGGACAAGGTCTCACTCTGCATTTGGATACCCCCAAGGGCATCTGCTCCTGGGGGAAAAGTTATTGGTCCTGAAGTTATAAAGGCCTCCAAGGAGCTCTGAGCAGTCCAGATAAGGATCATCCCAGAGGAGCAGCTCAGCTTCTCTTACCTTTTTCCAAAATCCAAGTCTTGGCACTTGCAGCCCCTCTGCTCTGCTGCCAGCAGGAGCCTGGACAGCTTCCCTTTCCTTAGGCTTGAAATCCAGTTTGGGCTAATTTCTAAAATCCCTGGCTGGACTAACTGCCTGAGCTTGGCTCCCCTGAAATGAGCTGGGACACCAGAGGGAGAGGAAAACCCAGCTCCACAGAACCCCAGACTGGTTCTGGAGATTCCAGAATCCCAGGATGGATTGGGGTGGAAGGGACCTTAAAGCCCATCCCATTTTACCCCTTCCTCTATCCCAGGTTGCTCCAAGCCCCATCCAACCTGGCCCTGGACACTTCCAGGGGTGGGGCAGCCACAGATTCTCTGGACAACCTGTCCAGGGCCTCCCCACCCTCACAGACAAGAAATTCTTCCTCAAATGCAATCTCAAAGCCAAAGAAGTACCAAGTCCCTGCCAATCCCAGTCCATTTCCAAAGCAGCACCTCAAAGCCCTTGAGCTTTGCTCTCCCTGATGAGTTTCTGGCACCATCTGGGTCTGCTGGAGCTCCCAGAAGGGAATAGTCTCCAACACACAGGAAAGCTGCTGCAACACTGCTTTTTAAATCTAAGATATGAGCTCACCAATGTGTGAAAAGGTATTAAAAGTGGGGTGGAACACCCAGACCTCTCACAGAAGACCCAAAGGTCAACAAACCCCTCTCCTTCTGCATGACTGGATGATAATTTGGGGTTCAGCAAGACTTTGGAGCTCCAAAAGAGATCTCAAATGCAAAACACACCTCCCCTCCTCACCCTCAGCCAGCCTTTGGTCAGAAGTTGATATCCAGCAATGCATTTATTTAGTCTCCATCCAAGCCATTAATGCCTAAGCACTTAATTTGTGTTCCCAAATCCCATGCCAGCAGCAGAACAATCCTCACTCTGTATTGCACTGTCCTGGTCCTGAGTCACAGCCTGACCAGCCAAGGCTTCTGCAGCTGTGCCAGGACCAAAAACCCTCCCAGGTCCTTCCCAGCCAGGGCAGGAGTGGAAAACCCAGCAGCACTGCCTTGCCCAGGCTCCAGCCCCTTCCCTCCTCATCCCCAGGGCTCTTAAAGCCCCCTGGGAATGCAGGACACAGCAACCTCCAGCTAACTAGGTGGATCTACCCACGGGTTTGTGCATTCAGAGGGATGTTCCCAGGCACTGCAGATCCTGGGCCTTCACACTCAGCACCATTTCTGACACATCTCCCAGATCCTGACCCTCGGGAAAAGCCAAAGTGCAATCTTCTGCCACCAGGACACTTAACTGGTGATATTTCCTGGGATCAAGGAGCATCAGTGTCACAGACAGTAGGGTCAGATGCAATATTAGGAAGGAATTGTTCCCTGTGAGGGCAGGCAGGCTCTGGCACAGGCTGCCCAGAGCAGCTGGGGCTGCCCCTGGATCCTTGGAAGTGTCCAAGGCCAGGCTGGATGGGGCTTGGAGCCACCTGGGATAGAGCAAGGTGTCCCTGCCCATGGCAGGGGGTGGGACTTGATGGGTTTTAAGGACCCTTCCCAATCAAACCAGGCTGGGATTCTGTGATGGGGGAACAGGAGATGGAAAATACAACACTGCCATAACATGGGAATCTGCACTTCTAACCAAGAGTCATTTACTCCCTGCTGGTACCTTTTCCTTCCCCCTCTCTGCCAAACTGGCAGATTTTTCTGGCTGCTTTCTGTCAAACTAAACACAGCAGAGTGCAGGGCCAGGCCAAACATCATTCTATTTTTCTAATCAGAGAGAAAAGTAGATGGAATGAAAGAAATCCAAACCTTGTCTGTCCTATTCCTTACTCACTTTCTGGTGCAGTCCCTCCACCTGGCTCTCCAGCTGCTGCTTCTCTTGCTTGGTTTGGATCTGTGTCTCTCCCAGAATCGATTCCAGCTCCTCATTGCGCTCAACCAAACCCTTGTGTTCCTGCTCCAGTTTCTGCAGCTTGTGAAGGAGCTGGGAATTCCTGCCCTCAATGCTCTCCATGGCTTCCAGGCACCTGCACACCAAAACCCAGCATCACCAAGGCTGGAACTGCATCCCAACTGCTCCCCACCAGTGAGGAAAAGCCAAGGTGTTCCTCACACTCTCCTGCTGATTTCCAGTCTCACATCCAGCATGGCATGTGCCTGTCCTTATTTAGATGGGAATTCCTTCATCATTCTTCACGTGGGATCTACACAAGGAATGATGAAGGTCTGGGCAGGAAACAGCTCAGGCAGGAGGCTGCCAACAGCAGAGAGAGAACAGCAAATTCAGCTGCTTGAGGTGGAGAACAGGCTTGGGAATCTGAAGGGAGAAGGGTCAGAGGGCTTTTTGAAGAGGATCAGTTCCCCTTTCCTCCCTGAACCTGCCAGACGAGGTGCAGCATCTCCTGAGCAGGTGTTGGGAGAACAAAGCTTTGAATTCCATCAGAAATCCCTGTTTATATATCATGGTTGAAAGGCAGGTGTTTTGGTGCACTCCTGGAGAGCAACCAAACCCAAAGAAAACTTCCCAGCATTAAAACAGGTTTAAAACCAAGGTTTTTAAACAACATTATTTTTAAACAACAAGATTTTTGTCTGTGAACAGCCATAAAAGTCCAACTCTCTTCTTTTAGGAAATCAACAAAGTGGAGGAAGTATCAGCATTTAACTGGAAGAAGTGATTCCTCAGGACTGCATCTCCTCCAAATTTTCCCATCTGGGAGTAGAAGAACAAAGTCCTAAAGAGTATTTAAAACAATTCAATAATCAAATAATCCTTCAAGAGAGAGCATCAGTGACACAGCACCAGGAACCAGTGGCAGTACAAGGGGTGAAGGATTTCTACACCTCTCACCTTTTGTGGAGAGTTTCAACACCTTGATCTCCACGTTCCTGATATGGGGCAGCTCTGCTGGCACCAGAGTCTCCATCAGCTCCTGCTTCTTCCTGGGTGCCCTGTGCCTGAGAGAAAATCCACGAGGATTGAGATCCCAGAATCTCAGGATGGATTTGGGTTGGAGGGACCTTAAAGCTCATCCTGTTCCATGGGCAGGGACACTTTCCTCTATCCCACGCTGCTCCAAGCTCCATCCAACCTGGCCTTGGACACTTTCAGGGATGAGGCAGCCACAGCTGCTCTGGGGAAACTGTGCCAGGGCCTCACCACCCTCACAGCCAGGAATTCCTTCCCCATATCCCATCCATCCCTGTCCTCTGGCAGTGGGAGCCATTCCCTGTGTCCTATCCCTCCATCCCTTGTCCCCAGTCCCTCTCCAGCTCTCCTGGAGCCTCTTTAGGCCCTGGAAGGGGCTCTGAGCTCTCCCTGGAGCCTTCTCCTCTCCAGGTGAACATTCCCAGCTCTCCCAGCCTGGCTCCAGCCCTCAGAGCATTTCCCTGGCCTCCTCATTCAGCTCCAGCAGCTCCACAAAACTGCAGCACTCTGTGCTTTCCCATGTGAGCACAGAGAGATTCCGAGGCCACCCACGTCTCTCAGAACTAAAACACACGAGCACATCAGCTTCATCTCTCAGCCCTAGGAGCCAAATCCTCCAAGCCCAGAACACCCAGGCTCTTACAGACAGCTAGGGTCTGGGATGCAGAGGGGACTATGTTTTTTCTGGAATGAAAAATATGAGAAAATAGCCCTTGGAAACACCTGCAGTGAGGCCATTCCAGCTCCCTCTGCTGATGGAGGCTCTGGCCTCTCGCTCCGCTGGTACTCACAGATCTCCTCCTTGAGCTGCTCCACCTGCAACACAAAGATTTGAGTTGTTATTATTTTCATATTTATTATTAATGTATTCTGTCCCTTATCCTGAGGGACTGGCTGAGATCCTGTGGATGCTCCAGCAGCGGAGTGGCCTCAGATAAGGAGCAGCAAAAGTGGGAATGCTGCTGCTCCAATCCATTAAAAGATGATTTTTCTGAATTTATTTCACTTCCTGAGCACACCCACATTGTGTCAGAGTCCAACTGCTATTTCTGAGGACACCTTTCAGTATCTTCCATCCATGGGATCAGTGAAATTCCATTACCAGCAGCAGTCACAGCTCATCCCAGACCAACTGCCCAGCCTGTTCCTCCCCTACTCTTCGTAACCCACAGACAAGAAAACACCTTTCAGGACACCAAGCTGCTGTAGTCAGTAATAAAGCACATTTTCTACTTCTGTAAATTAAAAATTGGGGAGTTCCCAACTTCTGTGACAACAGTTAAACCCCAATCCTAAGGAATAAAGGGAATTTGCTTTTAGCTTAACATGTGGCTGGAACTGATCTCAATCTGGCTACATTTTTTCCTGTTCAGTGACCAAAATGTATTACATGTATCTATATGGTTTTTGTCTATATATACATAAATATATATTTTTTAATATTTTATTTCTACTTTTTTATAAGCTATTCATACACTTGTGTATCCAGAATAACTGAAAGGAGCCATGTCCTACAGCAAGAAAAACATTATTTGGAATTTTAAAAAAATGTAAACAGAGGAATTTGAACTAAGTTATGGGTTTTTTGCAGCCCCAGAAAGAAGCTGAGCTGTAAATACAAGGCTTGAGGTGACAGGCATGGAAAAAAAAAAGCAAGTCTTTTAAATGCAATTAAAAAAACTATAAAAAAACTGGACTATAAAAAATACTGTAAAATTTTGAACACCTCAAATGGGAATAAATCCCATTCAAGATATTATCTGATAAATATTATTTGAAAAGCATCTTCTCAGTGATACTTCTATTAATTTAGCAATACTCATTGGACATGAGAGAACTGCAAGAGAGCCAAGAGCTCTCAGTGCTGGGATGGCAGAGGCTGATATGAGGAAATCAGGAGATAAGAACAGCAGTAGATTTTGTGCCCAATTATACATTTTAAGAGGAAGCAGACTCTTCTGTCCCTTCCCTGTTGGCAACTTCATTAAGGAATTATCTGGTTGATAGTTCCTTAATTGCTCCTTAATTCTAGGTGGCATTTAGGGAATCACAGCTGTATAACACCAAGTATTTAACTAATAGTAATGTAATAGTAATGTAATAGTAATGTAATTAATTCCATTAAGAGAACCCACAGAAAATAAGCAAATCAATCAATGTGGTTGAGTTAAAAACCAAAGGGGCTGAAAGGAATCAAAAATGAGCATAAATTTCAAATGGATTTCTAACCATCTGGTGGGGTTTTAGGTTAAACTTAGGTAAACTGAACTCTTTAATCCAGTCCAGGGAAAAGTGTGTGTGCTCCTTACTCTGTTTCCACACTTGAGTTGGGATAAACACTGATCAGCAGGGAGCTGATCCCTCTCCATGGGCACAGGAAAACGTGTCCCAAAGTCCTCAAGCCACCACTCAGTTGGAGTCCCTCAAACTCCTCCTGCACTGGAGGAATTCCCAGAGCTGCATTCTGCCCATTTCCCAAATTTTACTGCTCCATGAACACAGCCAAACTGCAGCTCTGGAAAGACTGGGCATAGAACAGGGAGGGGAAAGAGGAAGGCAGGGCAGGTCTGGGAGCAGGGATGACTCTCAGGGTTGTTGGCTTGGCTGGGTGGATCCTCACCAGCTCCAGGAACGCTTTCCTCTCCAGGTCGAGCGTCTGGACCCGTGCCCGCAGTGCCAGGATCTCCTTGTCCAGCCGGCTGTTGTGCTCCATGGCCCTCTGGAGCTCTGTCCTAGCTGGAGACAGCAGCACCAGGAAAGTGGTCACTGGCTTGGCCCACACTCCAAGCACGGATTCCAGGCTGATCCCACACATGGGAAAGGTGGGAGGCAGCATGGACATGTCCCACATCCACTGAAAACACATCCTGCATCCACTGGGAATACATCCTGCATCCACATGGGAGCACATCCCACATCCACATGGGAGTACATCCTGCATCCACATGGGAGCACATCCCACATCCACGTGGTAACACATCTCCTTTGGACACACCCATGTGGGAACACATCCCCCATCCATGCCCTCTCCCTCTCATAGATCCAGGTTGATGTCCCTGGAGATCCAGGTTGATGTCCCTGGAGATCCTGGTTCAACACCAGTCTCTCCATCATTATTCCAGGGATTCATTTACCTCTGGATCACAGAAGTAAACCTCATTTAAATCACTCTCCTCATCTAATATGGGTTTCACTTTCTCTATGGAAAACCTCAACATTCTCACCATAAAATCCATCACTGCCACAAGCAGGAACACAATCCCAGCCAATGGATCCATGTTGTCCACACACTGAAATTTAATGGAATGGCTACAACTGGAAAAATTACGCACCAATTTTTCTATGGATCAATGGATCAATGAATAAATAAATCCCAACACCAATTAGTGCATATTCCAAATACTTTCAGGGCAGAAATAGGAAGAGGTGTTTGCATTAGGAGCACATGTTGAGGACACACTGGTATCCTCCTGTCTTGGGGAGACAATTTTCCTTAGAAAAAAAGAAAGAAATATTATTCCCTTTTCAGTTTATCACTAGGCACAGGAAATTTTAAACTTAAATTTGACTTCTATTCAGGCAAAAAAAAAAAAATCTACTTTTTTGGTTCCACCTTGGAAAAAGCAACAAATTCCTTTTTCAAACAAGGATTTTCAGTTGTGTCATTTAAAACAAAAAGCAAAGAGTTTTAAACAAAAAGCATCTCCACAGAATGACAGAATGGGTTGGGTTGGAAGGGGACCTTGAAGATCATCTCATTCCAACCCCCATCTTCCACCAGAACGGAAATTTTACTCAAAAGCCTGTTGACCACTACACAAATTTATTATGAAATTATAATTAAATGATGATTAAAAGGTTGATGAAAGGATAATAAAATTCCAGCTCTTTTTCTCTTGCAAAAATTCTGACCACCCCCCCCTCCCCATTCCTTCTCCTGTTTTTCCCCCTCAGGATCAGCCTTCAGGGCTGACCACAAGGGTGATTCCACAAGGACAACAGTGTTGGGATGTGGCAGCCCAGTTCTGCTTTGGAAAAACCCCACAACATTCCTTATGAACTTTGTTAAATACCATTTAAAGCCTTTCCTCACCAAAATCCCACTAAGTGAGCTCAAACCGGTCAGGAATTCTTCCCTCCAATGCACACAAGTTATCACTGAACCAAAATATGTTGTTTAAGGGAGTTTTACTAAAGATGAGTGACCCCAGCCTCGGTTTTTAGTAGCAAATCAATTAATTATCAGAGCAGCTGGCTCAGAGCTCCCCAGGAGGAGAAGCTGTGCCGAGATACAGAACCAGTGAAGCCACTGGGACATTGTCACCCTCATTTTGCACACACAGAGACAAACCCCAGAGACAAAACAAGCATTAAACCCTTACTCACATTTTGTAAAGCCTTGTATTCATCTAGCACCTCATAAAGCACAGATTTCCCTGTGCAGGCTACAATCCATGGGAGTCCCAGGCTGGAGCCTGTCCGTGCTCCAGAGTCAGCACTGAAGCTGCCACATCACTCATCCCATCCCTGGGGATTATGGATCGATCCCTACCCAGCACAGGGATGAAAAGGATGGGAATGATGGGACTGGAGGCTGGAGAAGAGCTGGCAGGGCTGGAGAGGAGCTGCTGGGGCTGCAGAAGAGATGCTGGGGCTGGAGAGAAACTCTCAATTCCTTGTGCCATATGTGAGCACCAAGGGCAGCCCCAGGATTCTACAATTCTGCTCTAAACCTGCCCCAGACAGTGCCAGTCCCCTGAAGGTAGCTGGTCCCTGCAAAGGCACATGGGGCTGTTCTCCAGTGAAATTCTGCATCACAGATTTGGGGACAATGCAAGGAATCCCCCAAAAGAGCACCCAGACCTGTGTGTCACTAAGGACATTTTCCACGGACATTTCACTCCAAGAGCAGCTTTACCACATCTCCCTCCAGAAAACTGTTTATTTCTACAGTGAGAATTTATTTTAAAATCCTACTAATAAATAACACTTCAGGGATGGTCAACAGTTATTTCAAGGAGGAGGTAAAAGGGAATATTCTCAGTACCCAGTCACTTCCCCACTGCTGCACTTGTTAAGGATCCTATGGAGGCAACATCCCAAATTGTACCTGGAGAGCCCTGGGATGAGGTCCAGATCTGGTAATTAACCCTGTGCACATGGTAATTCTGTTATTTTGCTTGCAGGCCAAGTCATCATTCCCTCTCCATCCCCTCCCAGGGCAGAAATCTCTCCCTGGAGAGGAGATAGGAAATTCCCAGGGACAGGAAATTTGTCCAGACTGTGCAGCTGCATCACAGATCAGAGAAGCTGGTCTCAGAATTAATGGATTTGTGACAGTTAACCACTGCATTCCCAGCTCCTATGGAGCAGGCTGACTCCTGGCACTGCTATTCCCATATTCCAAGCAGAGAGGACAGAGGACAGACTGCCCCAGGGCTCAGAGCATGCCAGGAGTGGCCACCAGAGCAGCACTTACCTGCTCCACTCTTCTCTCTGCTATCCAGCCCTTCTGCCACCCTCTGGATATCTTCCTGGGACACCACCAGCCTCTGTGGGGCCTCATCCACATCTCCCACAACTCCTGCAGGCAAAGCTCCTTCTCCCTCCAGCTCTTCCCTGCAGAACTGAAGCACAAGGGTTAATGTGCCAATGGAAACGAGGAATCCTGTGGAGATGTGACCAAGGCAGAGCTGTTTGTCACCCCCACCATGCTGGTCCCATTGGAAAATGTGTCTTTCCTCATCTACAGTGCCAGTCCTGGGACAAAGCAAAGGCAGGAGATGTCCTGCCCCAAAATGTGAGGTGTGCCCTGGGTCTCAGTAGAAGGGATTATTTCTGCCCAGGCTGGGCACGGCGTGAGGATGAGGCTGTGACACTCTTTGGGCTCTGGGTTTTTTACTCTAAACCCAATAAAAACCCTCCCAATCTGCTTAAGGACAAACCTGAAATGCAGGAGAGGAGAAGTGTGATGAAGAACAGCTAAGGGAGCTGGAGAAAAGGAGGCTCAGGGGGGATCTTCTGGCTCTGCACAATTCCCTGACAGGAGGGAACAGCCAGCTGGGGGTCAGGTTCTGCTCCCAGGAAACAAGGACAGAACAAGAGGGAATGCTATCAAGCTATGCCAGGGGAGGTTTAGATCAGATATTAGGGAAAATTTCTTCATAGAAAGGGTGGTCATACATTGGAATGGGCTGCCCAGGGCAGTGTGGAGTCACCATCCCTTGGAAGTGTTCTAAAACCCTGTGGATGAGGCACCTGGGGACATGGGTTAGTGGTGGCCCTAGCAGTGCTGAGGGAATGGTTGAACTCAGTGATCTTGGAGGGCATTGGCAATCACCTTGGTATATTCTGTGAAATCTCAACTATGAGCCAGCAGGAAAATGTGAATTTCCTTATTTCTGTCTCCCCAGGAAGCTGTGTGCATTCCTGCTGCTGTGGGAATTCAGCTCCCAATGCCTGACAGGCCTGAGCAGAGCCAGCCTTGCACACAGAGATGTTCCTGAATAACAGCACCACCAGCACAGGGCCATGTGTCCCCTGGCACTGCCATGTGTCCCTCAGTGCTGCCATGTGTCCCTGGCACTGCCATGTGTCCCCTGGCACTGCCATGTGTCCCTCAGTACTGCCATGTGTCCCCTGGCACTGCCATGTGTCCCTGGCACTGCCATGTGTCCCCTGGCACTGCCATGTGTCCCCTGGCACTGCCATGTGTCCCTCAGGATCATGAGGGGGATTTTCAGTTCCAACATATCTTGACTTAGAAGGGTTAGGGTGACCATGCCTTACACTTGGCAGGGAAGTTTCCACCAGAGTTATCCCAAAGCCTTGTGAAAATCCATCCAGCTCCTCCTGGCAGCTCTGTGGGTTCACTATTTTTGAAAGACCTCTGATTTCCTGGGGCTGCCCACGAGAGCTGGAGGGCTCAGTTTTGCTGTCACTGAGGGGGACTGGCTCACTTTGTCAGAGTAACACTGGGAGACTCACAATCATGGGATCACAGAAAGGCTTGGAATGGAAGAGACTTTAAAGTCCATCCTGTCCCACCATGGGCAGGGACACCTTCCACTGTCCCAGGCTGCTCCAAGCCCCGTCCAACCTGGCCTTGGACACTTCCAGGGATCCAGGGTGAGCCACAGCCAAGAATTCCTCCCCCGTTCCCCCTTGTCCTGGCACTCCAGACCCTTGCTAAAGTCCCTCTCCAGCTCTCTTGGAGCCCCCTGAGGCACTGGAAGGGGCTTTAAGGTCTTTCCAGAGCCTTCTCCAGCTCTCCTAGCTTGGCTCCCAAGGGGCTCCAGCCCTCAGAGCATCTCCGTGGCTTTGCTCCAGCAGGTCCTTCCTGTGCTGGGGATCCCAGAGCTGCAGCAGCACTGCTGGGGGAGTCTGACCAGAGAGGAGCAGAGTCACGATGCTGTTTGGCCTTTGGGGTGCAAACACACACTCCTGGCTCATGTCCTGCTTTCAGTCCATAAGAACTCCCAAATCCATCCCACAGGGCTGCTCTCCATTAATTCCTCCTCCAGCCTGTGCTCATTCTCAGATTGCTCCTATCCAGGCACAGGGACCTGAACTCCAGGAGCTCCCTGGACCACTGCTCCACATCCCTCTTATTTATGGATTCACACATTCCTGCTCCACTGAAGGGGTCCGAGGCTCAGCACATTGGTTTGCCACTGATATCTGGCACTTCAGAAGGTGAGTGAGCTAGCACATGCCAGGAATCCAGAAGGCATTTCCACATGGATTTCTTGGAGCTGACCACACAGAGAGGCAGGTTTATATCCCGCCTTTCTGCTTTCCTGGGGATGCAATAAAACAATCAATTCTGCTTGAGCAGTCTGGCTAAAAGCTGAATTCATCCCTGTACCAGACAGGAACGTGTCCAGCCCTTCATTCCCAGAGTGGAACAGGTCAGCTGGGAGCAAGCAAGGCCACACATTCCAGTAAACAGAGTAAGAGGAGCAATTAACACCTTAACCTGTAACACTGCTGGTCCTGCAAAACAAGTGGGATGCTCCCGAGAACAATGGAGTGTTTAATCAACAGTTTCTGCTCCGAAGGCAGAGACAGGAATGACATCACTGGGGACAGTAATCAGTCCTGTCATGGAGACAGTTTTCTGGGAAAACACATCTTCGTTAAACAGAAAGGAACAAGAGAAGGAGCTCTGACCCGTATTTGAGGTCTTGCTCCCTCCTCTTGGCTTGGGATATCAGGGACAAACAGCAGCTCCTGGAATCCCACAGCATTCCTGGACTCCAGTTCCACAGAGACACGGCCATAAGTCATGAGTAGGTGGAAAGTGATGGCTTTGGAACCATAGAATCAGAATATCCTGAGCTGAAAGAGACCCACAGGGATCATCCAGTCCAACCTCTGGCCCTGCACAGACACCCCAACAATCCCTTGGAGCGCTGTCCAAAGGCTCCTGGAGCTCTGGCAGTGTTGGGGCCAGGACCATTCCCTGGGGAGCCTGGGCAGTGCCCAGCACCCTCTGGGGGAAGAAGCTGATATCCAACCTAAACTAAACCCCCCTGGCACAGCTCCAGCTGCTCCCTCAGATCCTGGCCCTGCTCACAGAGATCAGAGCTGCCCCTCAGGAGAAGATGCAGCCCCCAGTGAGATCTGCCCCTCAGCCCCCTCTGCTCTAGCTGAACCCAGAGAGAGTCATTCTTACCCAGTGAAGATCCTCACACCAAACCCATCAGAAACTCCTCAGCACAGGATTATAAATAACCCATTTCACTGTCCCTGTGCAGATGTGGGAGTAAATCAAGTGCAAAGAGTGAGAATTAAGAAAGGCACTGACTTTGAATCCTGGAATCCCAGACTGGTTTGGTGTTGGAAGTATTCTTAAAGCTCATCCCATTTCACACCCCACCATGGCCAGGGACACCTTCCACCATCCCAGGTTGCTCTAAGCCCAACCTGGCCTCGGATGTTTCCAGGGAAGGGGCAGCCACAGCTTCTCTGGGCACCCTGTGCCAGGGTCTCACCCCCCTCAGCCAGGAATTCCTTCCCAATATCTAATCTAGACATATTCTGTCAGTTTGAAACCATTCCCCCTTGTCCTGGCATTCCAGACTCTCGCAAATATTCCATCTTTCTTGTAATTCTTTCAAGTGTTTCAGACCCAAGACTCCACAGTGGCCTTAGAGACAGGAGAAACAATTTCCATTACAGAAATATCCCAAAAATATTCCTTTTCTGCAGGCAGAGCCAAGGAGCAGGAGTACCTGGAGCCCATCAATCCCGCTGTGGGATTCCAGCTGCCGGGCTGCCACTTCCAGTTTTCTCAGCAGAGCCGCCCGCTCCACCAGGAAATATGCAACCTGTTCACTGGCAGCACTGCAGGAGATCTGGGATAAACCTTCCTGCTCCAGCATCTCCTCCACTTCCTTCAGCTGAGTTTCTGCAAGGCAAGGCAAGGCTTGTGTCAGCAGAGGAGAAACAAAGGGCAGGGTTTCCCGGAGATCTGTCCCAGTTCCTCCAAACTTTCTCACTGCCACAGCCCCATTTCTCATGGAGCCCAACAGCTCCTCAAGTCTCTCCTGCTTCCCACTTCCTTTCCTGCTATCCATTATCTCAGCCTTATTCCCTCTCTCCCAAGGCTTCTCTTCACACACCCTTCCCTGCCTGCTGAGCATGTGATGGGACCTGCTCCCCCCAGGCAGACTCGGCCCCTTCAACCCCAAGTACAGCCTGGCAGAAACTAATCACCAGATTAAACAGATACTGAGAGAACCAGAGAATCATTAAGGTTGAAAAGACTTCCAAGATCATCAGTTCCAACCCTCAGATCAAGTCCAACCTTGGAGAGAAATCAAACAGATGGACATGAAGATGTTTTCTTTGGTAGGAGACACACAAAATACCAGATCACTCCTAGAGAGCATCACTGTTTTCCCAAGGAATGTCTAGGAAGGAGGCAAATCTGAACCTCTTTAAGAATTAAACTGCCATTGCTTCAATATTTATCAAAAAATTATAGCCAGGAAGACTCTGTACTGGGAAAAACTTCCAGACTCAAGGGTCTCTAAGGCAGAAAGGTGACAACAAGACTTGCAGGAGTCAGTTTATGGCTGGGCACCTTTGTGTTTGTGCAACCAAGATTGTTAAAAAGACCCCCTGGTTGGTGTGGTTGGAATTTACCTGCCAGGAGAAAATGAGGAACCTTTGGTGTCTGGCATGATGAGGGCAGCAACTCCTGCATTGGATCCAGCAGCTTGTAGAGCTAGGGGAGGGCTTTTCAAACACTCCCTGTGTAGTTCGTATTAAAACCAAAACCAAGACCAAATTTCTAGCCCAAACGAGATTATAAAGGCTTCCAGGTGTTGTAAGATGGGAAGTGCAGGGAGCTGTATAGAGGTAGGAGAAATATTCACACTCTTTCCCTGCTCAGGGATCTAGAGTTGGACAGCAGAGGTTCAGCAGAGCAAACACTCCTCACACCCAGGACATGCAGAGCCCTGGACCAGCCTGTCCCTCACTCTCATGCACTGATTTAACACAGGACCCAGCACAAGCACACCCCGAGGCTCTGATCGATGCCATGTTTCCACTCTGTGCCTCACAGCCGGCTCCATCCAGCCCTGTGGATGGAAAACACCCTGAGGTTCCCCAGGCGTCTTCCCCAGGGAGACAAAGCACAGCCTGCTCAATACAGGGTCAAACAGGGCTCCCCAGCAGCCTCCTGCTGCAGCACAGCAAACAAGGCACTCTGCAGGATCAGAACTGCTCCTTGTGCCTGGGGAAGGGCCCACGGATCACACTAAACTGAATCCCTGTCGGAATCCGAGGTATTGATGATTCCCAGATTGTAGAAAGTCTCTGTCTTTCTGCCCCATTGCCAAAGAAGAAGCCATAATTAATCTGTGCTGTTTCAAGGTTGTTTATTCTGTTTATCTCTAACAGGGCAGCGTGTGGGGCTCTGCCCTCAGTGGGATGGTACAAACATTAAATACCACAAACTACCTGTGCTGGATTTACAATAACGTGCCAATATCTGTCACCTACGTTGGACAGTGTGTCCCCAGCCTAAACCAACAGAAAAATGCCAACACCACAGTGAAACATGGAGGGCATGAAGAAGGAGAAAAAGGACAAGGCACACCCAATTCCTCCATCTTGTCCCCCTAATCTAGAATCCTAAAATTTTACTTTTGCACCTGTGCCACACTTAATTATTACTCATATCAAACACTCAGAGCTTGTAATTCATCCTGTAAGATTGAAAACTCTTTTCCATGGACAGAGATCACAGACAGTGTCTCTGGGGGCTCTGTCCAGGGGGTTCCTGACCCCTGCCAGGGCAGCCAGAGGGAAGCCCTGGATTCCCACAAATCCCCACCTGCCTGGCAGCTTCATCCCATGGTTTTGCCAAATCCCAGCTAAAATGAACAGAAACTGCTCTGGTTATGCCCCCTGTGCCCTGAACCACCTTTACCTGCTAGTGCCCCTCTTGTCCCCAGCCTTCAATGTGGGATGAAGTGGTATCATTTTAGATCCCAGACATATTCCAGAGGCTGGAGAGGAAAAAGGATTTGTGAGGACAGGGGGGGCTGCCCACACAGCACAGGTTACCTGTGAGAAAACCCCACTGACTCCTTACAAACTCCTTCCCTCCCTCATCCAGTGTTTGGGAAAAGCCAACCCCTGCCTCAGGCACTGTCACACAACAGCTCCACTGGCATCTCCCACCTCTGTCCATGCTTGTTTGGAAGCAAATTTTATATTAATATTTGTATTTTCTTACCCCAGGAATACTCTGAGAAACAGCAGCCACCCCACCCCACCACAGCCCTACATCCTCCAGCCCTGCTGGGTGTGTTTAACCTGCCCAGCTGTTACAACAAACAAGCTCACACCATGACTGTGTCTTCTTTTTATTCCACTTTTCAATAAATCCAGGCAGCTCCCCCAGCACTGTGTGTCACTGCCAGTTGTGTCTCAGGAAGGCTTTTGGGAGCACCATCGATCTGCCCTCCAACAACACCCAGTGCATTCAGCGAGAGCATCAGAGGCGGATCAGGAATTGCCTGGAGGGAAGGAAAAATGTCACTCTGGGCAGAGGTATCAGATGAGGTGACACTCAGCTCGATGGCCCAGCATCAACCAGCCTTGGCTGCTCCCTGTAGGAATGGGCAGGGATGGGCAGGAAGCAAATGTGCAAGCAGAGATTTGCTTTTCATCTTCAAAAACTGCTCAGTGTCAGTCACCAGCAGTAATTATCCTCAGGATCTAAAGGAGGGCTGGAGAGACTTTGACCAAGGGCCTGGAGTGCCAGGACAAGGGGGAATGGCTTCCCACTGACATAGATGGGTTAGATGGGATACTGGGAGGAATTTCAGTGTTTCCAAAAGCTACCAACCACCATCCTGTCCTCTTGCCTTGCCCACATTTTTAACAATTCCAGCAGACCATGGTCTGTCTTTCCACAAGCTCCTTCTCCAGCCCAAGCTGCTGGATCATCCTGTGCCTGCTGAGACACCTGAGTGTCCTGCAAAAATAACAGGGGGAGCAAGACCTGGAGCACAAACCCTGTGGGGAGCAGCTGAGGAAGTCAGGGAGGGCTCAGCCTGGAGAAAAGGAGGATCAGGGGGGACCTTCTGACGCTGCACAACTCCCTGACAGGAGAGGGCAGCCAGTTGGGATAGGCTTTTCTCCCAGGGAACAGGGACAGAACAAGAAGAAATGGCCTCAAGCTGTGCCAGGAGAGGTTCAAGTTGGACATTCGTTGAAAGGCTGGTCAGCACTGGCACAGCTGCCCAGAGAAGCAGCAGAGTTACCATTCCTGGCATTGTTCAAAAAGGATGTTTGAACATCAGGGCACTTGTGGTGGGCTGACAGTGCTGGGGGAATGGTTGGATTTGATGATCCTAGAGGGCTTTTCCAACCTAAACATTCCCATGGTTCCAAGAACTCTGTGAAAAGCAGAGGCCTGGGGAACAGACACAGGGATGCAGCACAGAACCCTGCAGCAGGGACACGTGAGAGACCTGGAGCAGCCCAGAGAGGCCTTTGGGATTGTGCAGCATCTCCAGCACAGCACATCCAGCCACTCCATACTAGAGATGGCCAGGGGGATTTTTTTTTTATGAGGAGGATGATACAGAATCATGGAACCACACAATATCCTGAGCTGAAAGAGACCCACAAGGATCATCCAATCCAACACCTGGCCCTGCACAGACACCCCAACAATCCCACCCTGGGCATCCCTGGGAGCATTTTCCAGAGGCTCCTGAAGCTCTGGGGAGCCTGGGCAGTGTCCAGCACCCTCAAGGGGAAGAATCTGTTCCTGACACCCAACCTAACACTCCCCTGGCACAGCTCCAGCCATTCCCTCAGGTCCTTTCCTTGGTCCCAGAGAGCAGAGATAAAATTCTCCTCCAGAGGAGCTGCAGCCTGGGATGAGCCCTGCCCTCAGCTCACCCTCAGCTGAACAAACCTGGCTAAAAGGATCAGTCACTCAATAAAGTGCTCTACAAGAACCCAAAACATCTCAGTGCTGGCACCTCTCCCTGCAGGTGACAGCCCAGAGTGAGAAGGGCTTCCAGATTCTTAAATTATCCATACACATCCCAGGATAGCAGCCAAGCTAGCAGTGAGTCAACAACAAGTCTTGAACCTCAAAATCTGAGTGAAATCCCAAAAAAATCCCTCCAGAAACACTCTACACTGGGAACAACTGGATGGTGACCAGCAATCCCTCCCAGATACACCGAGATCCATGGACAAGGATCTCAGCTTCCATTCCAGGGGAAATCATTGCTCAACAGCCTCAGGGACCCCTAAAAATGGAGAAAGTCCAGAGGAGCAGATGGAATCACCGCATTCCAGCTTTGGGGACATTCTGTCTGTCTCCTGCCACCTTGTGGGAAGGGAGAGAACCAGGAACGGAGTTTTCTGCCACAGCCAGGCTCCCAGGAGCTCATTATTCATTTTAACCTTTGTAAGCAGCCTTTTCACCACAAACCACGGCTTTAAGTGCCCAGAGAAATCAAATTTTTAGGTGAATCCATCTTTGGAAAGTCACACCACCAGATGTGCTCCCTGATAACCCAACCAATGCTCAAAATTTCCCCCAAACTCCTGCATTTAGTGTTCCAAAGCCTGAATCACAAAGAAACACTTTAAGTTGTGCCATCACCCCAAATTTTATCTTAAGTCCAGGACAATACATCACACTAAAGGAGTTAATGGTGACATGGGCTATGAGCACCACTGCAAGTGCAACAGAAGACTGAAGAAAATCAAGAATTAAACCTAGAAGTGACCCTAGAGTTTGAAAATAAATTATTTCAAGCTAAGTAAGTGAAATAATTTGTTTAAACAAAATTACTGAAGCTCTGAGGGGCCCTGAGCAACTTGGTCTAATGGAAAGTCTCCCTACCCATGGCTGGGGGTGGAACTGGATGAGCTTCAAGGCCTCTTCCAACCAAAACCATCCTGGAATTCCATGACAATGAACATCCAAGTTTTGAATCATCAGAACAAACAATTCCTGTCCTCCGTATTGTTTTAAAAAACGTGGGGTTTGTGTGGACCAAAGCCAAGAGCAAATTCACTGACTTGGTGGGAGCGACAGATAATTTAGAGCTGGAAACCAAAGAGCACCATCAATTCTGGTCTTCAAACAGCTCCTGGAAGATGCTACGTGGAGAAGCTGCCAAACTCCCTAAATAAAGGCAGGAAAAGCAGGCAAGAACCTCTAAATCAATTATAAATCTGTTTGAACAGCTTGTTAACACTTTAAGAAACTTCTCAAGCAACCACTGAGAACTCCCTGAGAACTCAAAAAAAACCTCTGCTCATCTCTCCCAGAAGTTTTCCAGACCCAAACACCTTCCAGTGCATTCCCAGGGCCCACATTCCAGAGGGAAAGGATTACCCTGCTGCAGCTGGAGCTGTGCCAGCTCCAACCTGAGCTGCTCATTCTCCTTCTCATACTCAGAGGCAACAGCATCTCGCTCTTCCGTCAGGGTACGGACATGGCCCACGTAGCTTTCCACCTGGAATAAAGAAAAACCTTCTATTCCCACGTCTGCTGGTGCTTCCAGTGATCCAGCAGCACAAAAAGTTCTCCACCCCATCATGTTTACAGGATAACCTCAAATATTTGCAGGACAATATGTTTTATGCCTTTGGAACACCTGGGAATGGTAAAACCTTGAGTGGGAGGTGGTGCAGCGATGGAGGTGCTGGGATGTGGGAGGTGCTGGGCTCACCAGGTGCTTTTTGATGGCCAGAATGAGGAATGGGGATATAAACCCCAAGTTCCCAAGGGCAGCAGCAGGGCAATGACACTCCTGAACCTGCTGCTGCAGAGGGGGGATCAGGGAATACAGGCCTGGGTGGGTAAACCATGAGGGTATTCCAGAACCACTGAGGTTGGAAAAGGCTCCCAAGTGTCCAACCTGCGACAAAACTCTTATCTTGTCACCAGACCACAGCACTGAGTGTCACATCCTGCTGGTCTTTGGACACCTCCAGGGATGGGAACACCATCACTGCGTTGGTCAACTCCTACAGTGAAGAAACTTCTCCTCATCTCCAACCTGAATCTCCCCAGACACAACTTGAGACCGTTCCCTCTGCTCCTGTCCCTGTTCCCTGGAGCAGAGCCCGACCTGGGGCTGTCCCCTGCTGTCAGGAGCTGTGCAGAGCCACAAGGTCCCCCCTGAGCCTCCTTTTCTCCAGGATGAGCCCCTTTTCTGCTCCCCCAGCCGCTCCTGGTGCTCCAGCCCCGTTCTCTTCCCAGGACGGGCTGCAGCTGGTCCCGTCCCCGGTCCCATCCCCGGTCCCGTCCCCGGTCCTTACGTCTCTCATGTCCTGGGCCCGCCGCCGCTCCAGCTCGCCCAGCCGGGTCTCCGCTCGCCACAGCAGCCGCCAGGCCAGGCCCAGCTGCTCCTCGGCCGGGGCGGCGGGGTCGGCGCCCTCCGCCCGCAGCCAGCGCTGGATGGCGGCCGCCGGTACCGGGGACTCCGTCTGCGGGCACAGAGCAGCCGTGAGACACCGGCGGTACCGCGGTACCGGCTGATCCTGGGGAACCGCCGGCCCGACCCCCCGAAACCCCCCGAGCCCCGCTGGGCTGGTCCCGGGGTACAACCGGCCCCGACGCCGGTCCCGGACACTCACCGGGGCGGTGCCGGACACCCACCGGGGCAGAACCGGACATCCCCCGGGCCAAAACCGGACACCCACCGGGGCTGACCCAGACACCCACCGGGGCGGAACCGGACACCCACCGGGGCAGAACCGGACACCCACCGGGCCAGAACCGGACACCCACCGGGCCGGTCCCGTTCACCCACCGGGCCGGTCCCGGACACCCACCAGGGCGGTCCCGGACACCCACCGGGCCAGAACCGGACACCCACCGGGACTGACCCGTTCACCCACCGGGCCGGTCCCGTTCACCCACCGGGGCTGAGCCGCACACCCACCGGGGCGGAACCGGACACCCACCGGGCCGGTCCCGTTCACCCACCGGGCCAGAACCGGACACCCACCGGGGCTGACCCGTTCACCCACCGGGCCGGTCCCGTTCACCCACCGGGCCGGTCCCGTTCAGCACCGGGGCGGCGGCGGCCGCGTCCATGCGGCGGGTCGGAGCCCGGCGCCATGGCAACAGGCCCCGCCCCCTCTGTGGCCGCGCCCCCACCAGCGCTGATGTGGATTGGTCGCGTTATGCCACGCCCCCATTGCGTCACGAAGGGTGGGTGCCCCAGCCACGCCCCCTCCCCGCTCAGTGTCGCCCCCTGGCGGTCGGAGCGGGCACAGCGCCGCGTCCCCAGGGTCACTCCGGGGTCAGCGAGTTTTCCCAATTTCCTTCTAAACGCCAAGAGAAACGGCTGGAGCTGGAGGGGAAGAGGGCAAATACATGGAACCAAGCCTGGAGAAGAGAAGGCTGTAGGGAGAGCATGGAGACAATGCCAGTTCCTACAAGGGACTCCAAGAGAGCAGGGGATGGACTCTGGATGAGGACATGGACAAGATAGGACAGTTTCCCACTGCCAGAGGGCAGGGTTAGGTGGGATATTGGGAAGAAATTAATCCCTGTGAGGTGGGAGGCCCTGGCATGGGCTGCCCCATCCCTGGAAGTGTTCCAGGACAGGTTGGACAGGGCTTGGAGCAACCTCAGCCAGTGGAAGGTGGAATGAGATGAGCTTTAAAGCCCCTTGAAACACAAAGACGACTCCATGAGATTGAGGAACTGAAGAGTTAAGCAGGTCCACCCTGCAGAAGGAACTCTCTGGCTGAAGACACTTCACAAGGGGATAGCAGAGGAAGGAGAAGAGCAGGACATGGAGAGGAGGTACATGGCAGAGCCCTCTGAGATCCTCAGGAAGCAACGGACAGATCCCGGACTTGCAGGAGCCACTTCCAACTTAGGTACCACAACAGCATTCCCAGAGTGCTGGTGCCCAAACAGTGCCAGGGTGGGACTCTGCAGGGCTTGGTTTAACCTCCCAGCTGGAACAGTGCATCCCTGACGTGGGATGGGGGCGGCTGTGGCTCAGTTCGAGCCCAGGGAAGGGAATCTCCCCAACCAGCACTTCACAAATAGGGGCAGGTACAATGCTGGAAGCCCACTGTGTGTTCTCAAGTCCAATGAGATCCCAATGTTCTCTGCTCCTCAAAAAGCTCAGATTATTCCTCAGCTTCCCACCCATCTCCAAGGAACTCCAGGACACCCTGAAGACAGTGCTGGTGGCATTTCTCCCAACCCTTGCCCCAGCACTCCTGCAAGGGCATGTTCACCTTACACTAATTTTTCTCTTCTCATCCCTGCTGGCCCATACAGTGGCTCCAAACTAACACAAGAGAAATCCCAGACTCAACATTCCCACCAATTACATACTGGGAGATGAAGACAGGCAATTCTTGGAGCTTCTTCACCTTCTTTATTAGTCCTGGCCACAGGTAAGTTGAATATTCCTTCTCCTGACTCAGTTACCAGCTGGATCTCTCCCCTCCTGCCCAACCTGGATTTCTCCCATCACTGATGACATCCACTGATCCCATCCCCATGCTCTTTCCTTGCTCTTCTGGCTTTATTTTCCCTCTTTGCTGAGCACCCCTCACTTTCAGAGGATTGGATATTACAAAATCACTGCTGCCTCCTGAACACTCCATGGTCTTGTCTCTGGAAATGTTTCCAGCACGCCCATGTGCTGCTGTCCTTTCCCAGATCCCAGTGAATTTGTTTTGAAGACAGCCCATGAGCAGACACACAGTGGTCAGCAGGAGAGATGCCCTTAAGTTTCCTGCAGCATGAGGAACACACACTTTGAAGTTGGTAACCGTTCAAAGAGGGTTTAGATAAATCCAGGAACATTCCAGTTCTAAATCCACACAGCCAAGAGGAAGCTTCCCCTTCCAGGGTCAGTCACTGCCACCCCTTCTGCTGTCAGAGAATCATGGAATCACTAAGCCTGGAAAAGCCCTCCAAGATCATTGAGCACTGCCATGTTTACCCTAAACCCTGTTCCCAGGTGCCACATCCACATTTGGTTTTGAACACTTTAAGGGATGGGGACTCCACCACTGTCCTGTGCAGCCTGTGCCAATACTTGAACATCTTTCCATGAACAATTTTCTCAATATTCAACCTTGAACTTCCCCTGGCACAGCCTGAGACTGTTTCCTCATCCTCTCCCTTGCTCCCTGAGAGCAAACCCCAATCATTCCTGCCTGTCCCCTCCTGTCAGGGAGTTGTGCAGAGCCACAAAGTCCCCCTTGAGCCTCCTTTTCTTCAGGTGGAGCCCCTTTTCCAGCTCCCTCAGCTGCTCCTGGTGCTCCAAACCCTTCCTTCCCACTCCCCTTCTCCAACCTTGGATCCATCCTCTGTGGTCTGTGCCAAATGTGGCCTTGCCTTTGTTTACAGAGCTCTGCAGCGACCCTTGAGCCTTGTTTGGTGAGAGTTACCCAAACACTGCCTTGGAAAACTTTCTGGACATGGAATATGAAGCAAAGCAACCTTCAAATACCTGGGATGGAAGGAAAACCTTGGAAACAGATGCTTTAGGAACGCTGCTGCGGCACCTGAAATGTAGGAACGTGGGATCTCTCCCAGGATGTCTCCTGGCACAAAGGCTGCTTCCCCAAAGCTGCTGTCACCTCATTTTCTTTTTTACTACCCTGGTTTCACCATCCACTCTCAACACCAGAGATTCCCCACTCCAGTCATAAAACCAGCACATCTTTCCTGTGAAGCCCCATTCCTTCCTCCTGCCATTCTGAAAGAAAATCCAAAGAGGGAGATTCAAGAAATTCTTTATATACAGAGACCTTCACCGTTTCTCCTCCTCCCAGTTCTCCCAGCCCATGGAACAGAAGCTTCTTTCCTCCTTTAGACACCAGGACAAATATCCTTTGGGATGGTTTCACTTCCATGTATTTCTCTTTTACAAAGCTGCAACAGCCACAGCTGAGCTGTATAGAAGTGACAGAGTGTTGAACAGCCCTCCTGAGTGCTCTGTGGGGTTGGTTTATCTACCTGGACAGGCACTGCTCCAGTCCTGCTCCCTCTGCAGCACCATTCCCTTATTTCCTGCGAGCTGCTCCTCAGCCTTTTCTCTCTATAAAGGCCGTGTGCTGGCCCTGCAGGTAACTCACAATCTTCTCCTCTATTTCCATGCCTTGTGCTATTTCCTCGTCAGACAGGGATAAGGGAGTCTGTGAGTCCCTGGTGACAATGATGACAGAGGTTCTCCGGGATTCCAGGACATTGGCCACCACCACCTGGTGCCGGTATTTCTCCAGAGCCTGCCGAGATTTATCCAGGAGGATCTGGGGATCTGTCTCCAGTTTGAAGGAAATCACAAAGGCTTCAGGAGCCCACTCTCTGACCAGGGGTGACAGCATTTTTGGCACCATCTTCATTGTGATCTGCAGTGGGGAAAGATAAAAAGAAAAAAATCAATAAGAATATTACAGGGAGTTTTAAAAAGAGATGGGATGGGAAAGAGGGAAAATCCAGCTTTGTTTCATATTCCATTTGCACCAGGAAGTTTTTCAAGGCAGTGTTTGAGCAGCTCTCACCAAACAAGATTCAAATGACACTAAATTTAAATTAAATGATCCATGTGGTGCTCACAGTCAGGGGGTTCTGAGGCCAGGCCACAGGAACTCTGCATTGCCAGAGCTAACCACACTGGGGGAATATAAACATGAGGAGAGAAGATTAAAACCAGCCTTATAACTGCATAAATCTGAGTTTTCACCTGTCCAGAGTTTGGGTAGTCTATCCCATCGTCACCTTTCCTTCTATCAACTCCTTAACACACATGAGGCATAAAAGTGCTAAAGCATGGAGAAAAACAGTAGGAGACTGTGTTCTCCAGCTTCCCAACCTCTGGATCCACCACTGGGAATCAGGCCAGGTCTCATCTTTCCAACGCTAACATTAAAGAATGACACCCAGCAACTTCTCAGAAAGTAATTAATTTAAAAATTTGGTATTTGTTACATAAAGAATTCCAGAGCCACCTGCTCCCATTGCTGAGAGGGACCTCAGTGCTGCAGTGTTGCTCTGTCATTCATACAAGCAAGATGGATCCCAGAGTCATGGAATGGTTTGGGGTTGGGAGGGACCTGAAATCCCATCTCATTCCACCCCCTACCATGGGCAGGGACACCTTCCACCACCCCAGGCTGCTCCAAGCCCCGTCCAACCTGGACCTGGACACTGCCATGGATGGGGCAGCCACAGGTGCCAGGGCCTCACCACCCTCACAGGGAAGAATTTCTTCCCAATATCCCATCTAAATCCATTCCGTCAGTTTGAAACCATTCACCCCTGGTCATAGCACTCCAGGCCATTCTCCAAACCTCTCTCCAGACAAAAGGCAACAACTCAAGTACTTCAGCAACTATTCTTGGAGTACTTCGGCTCTCTCTCCTCATCTCCATGGAAGCACGGGCAGCTTTAAAGGACAAAGCCAAAAAGCAGGAGGAACCTCAGGGGGCCCTCTTCGTGTGCCACACCACAGCTGCAGACATGTTGAAGCTGCTCCATATCAGACAGAGCAGCACTGACCTCCCTGCAGATAACCCATGGGACCCCTCACCCCTTCATCCCACCTAAAAATAAACCCGGATCAAAGGAGAGCAGGGCTGATCCTGCCCTGCCCTCTTATCTGGGCCCCTCAGTGCAAGATAAGACTAAAACAATGCAACTCCAGGATTTCCACAGGGTTCTGTCCCTGTGGGATCTCACCCTCCTGTTCCCTCTCACAACAAACACGAGCTGCTGCTTTGCAGCTTTCCCAGGTTTTATCCACAGCCAGTTCTCAGGAGAAGGACCCTGGGAGCAAATGGCTGAGGGGGGTGGCAGAGGGGACCATGCCCAGGGGAGGACTCACCTGCAAGGGCCCCTCCGAGGACTGGATCTTGTGCTCCGGCATCTCAGAGACCGGGATGTAGAAATCCGACACGGCGGCTGCCAGGTAGAACATGACACTGGAGCCTGTGGGAACACAACTGCTCAGCTGCTGTCCCCCACTGCCATGGCCTGTCCCTGACACCCCAGAGCCAGCTGAGCTGCCACCCACACACCAAACAGCAGAGCCCAGGGTCCCCATCAGGGATGCCCCCAGCACAATGCTGAGCAGGGCAGCACTGACCCCCACCCTGGGGTCTGTCTTGTCCCCTCCTCCCAAGCCCCAACAGCCTCCAGGGACAGCCCAGACCCTCACGTTGCCCTCCAAGCAAGAAGGTCCCCTTGTCCCCTCACACCAGAGCCCCACAGGTCCCAGGATCACCTCATACCTGAGCCCTGAGGCCACCATGAGAAGGTTCTATCATCTACCCCATGCCAAGAACCCCTCAACCTTTTTCGCATAACCATCACACCCCCTCGCTCCTGGTCCCTCTGTCCCCTCGCACTGGAGACCGCCATGAGAGCCTCACCCTTCCTCATCCTCAACCTTCACACAGGACCATCCTGTTCCACGCTGGAGACCCCCGTGAGAGCCTCAACCTTCCTCATCCTCAACCTTCACACAGGACCATCCCGTTCCACGTTGGAGACCCCCATGAGAGCCTCACCCTTCCTCCACCTTCGCATAGGACCATCCCACTCCCTCACACTGGAGACCCCCATGAGAGCCTTACCTTTCCTCATCCTCAGCCTTCACACAGGACCATCCTGTCCCCTCACACTGGAGACCCCCATGAGAGCCTCACCCTTCCTCATCCTCAACCTTCACACAGGACCATCCCGTTCCCTCACACTTGAGACCTCCATGAGAGCCTCAACCTTCACACGGGACCATCCTGTTTCCTCACACTGGAGACCCTCATGAGAGCCTCATCCTTTTTCATCCTCAACATTTGCACAGGACCATCCTGTCCCCTCACACTGGAGACCCTCATGAGAGCCTCATCCATCCTCATCCTCACTCTTCGCGCAGGACCATCCTTCTCCCTCACACTGGAGACCCCCATAAGAGCCTCATCCTTCCTCACCCTTCACACAGGACCATCCCATTCCCTCACACTGGAGACCCACATGAGAGCCTCAACATTCACACAGGACCATCCTGTTCCCTCACAGTGGAGACATCGACGAGAGACTCACCCTTCCTCATCCTCAACCTTCACACAGGACCATCCCATTCCCTCACACTGGAGACCCTCATGAGAGCCTCATCCTTCCTCACCCTCACCCTTCGCACAGACCATCCTTCTCCCTCACACTGGACACACCCCCGGGGGCCTCCATCCTCTCTCGCCCTGCGCCCTACGAACCGGCGGCCGCTCCTTCGCCCCGGTCCCCCCGTCCCCTCACGGCCGCGCTCCCGCCGTACCGAGGGGCGCCAGGGCTCTGGCGGCGGCGCGCAGCAGCGCCAGGTACTCCACCAGCGCGGTGAACTCGATGGCGAGCAGCGCGCCCGCCTCGGTGGCGCGCCGGTACTCGCGGAGCGCGGGCAGCAGCGCGGGCAGCGCGGCGGGGGCGGCGGCCACGCCGGGCGGCGGCCCCGGGGTGAGGCGGAGCGCGTCGAGCAGCGCGGGCCCGTGCGGCGGCAGGGCGCGGGCCCAGGGGAAGGCGGAGCGGGCGCGGTGCAGGAAGCACACGGCGTAGCCCGCCCGCACCAGCCGCTCGGCCGAGGCGGCCCCGCGCCGGCCGCTGCTGAAGTTCTCCAGGAAGCGCACGGCCCGCGCCTCCAGCGGCACCTGCGTCCCGCCCGAGGTCACCAGCGCCACTCGCCGCCCGCGGGCCGCCTGCTCCGCCGCCCAAGCCCGCACCCGGCCCTCGGTCTCCGCCGCATCCACCTCCTCGCTGTCCTTCTCCTCCTTCTCCTTCACCGCCGCCGCCATGGCCGGGACGGAAATCACGCGTGTCGGCCGCCCCGTTAGCGGAAGGGTTGTCGCGGTAACGGAACGCCAGCGCCGCCCGTGCCCGTCGGAAGTGACGGAGCTGTCGCCCGGCAACCGCGGCCGCGCCCGGGGCTCGGTGCCGGCCATGGCGGCGGCTCCGCGCTGCGAGCTGTGCCGGGCCCGAGCGGCCCCGCTGCGCTGCCCCGGCTGCCGCCTCACCCGCTACTGGTGAGGGACCGCGGGGCAGCAGGGACAGGGACAGGGCGGCAGGGATTGCCTCAGGGATTGCCTCAGGGATTGCCTCAGGGATTGCCCCCAGGGATTGCCCCAGGCATTGCCCCAGGGATTGCCTCAGGGATTGCCTCCAGGGATTGCCCCAGGGATTGCCCCACGGATTGCCTCAGGGATTGCCCCCAGGGATTGCCTCAGGGATTGCCTCAGGGATTGCCTCAGGGATTGCCTCCAGGGATTGCCTCCAGGGATTGCCTCAGGGATTGCCTCAGGGATTGCCTCAGGGATTGCCTCCAGGGATTGCCTCAGGGATTGCCTCAGGGATTGCCCCAGGGATTGCCCCCAGGGATTGCCCCACGGATTGCCTCCAGGGGTTGCCCCCAGGGATTGCCCCCAGGGATTGCCCCCAGGGATTGCCCCAGGGATTGCCCCCAGGGATTGCCCCCAGGGATTGCCTCACGGATTGCCCCAGGGATTGCCTCCAGGGATTGCCTCCAGGGATTGCCCCAGGGATTGCCCCAGGGATCGCCTCAGGGATTGCCCCAGGGATTGCCTCCAGGCACAGGCAAAAAGCTCAGGATAAGGTTCAGGATGAGGCCCAGGAAGGAGGAGGCAGAACAGACTCGGGACAAGATGAGAGGCAGGGCTTGTCCCACAAGAAAGCTCAGAACGCGAGGCCTAGGATGAAGCACAGGGCATGGGAAGAAGGCCCAGGAAGCAGGAACCAGCCACAGGATGAGGCTTAGGAAAGGTGGAGAAGGCCCAGGATGAAACGGAGGTAGGAACAGGCCCAGAACAAGGACAGAGAGACAGGGACGATGCCTGAGGTGTGGTCTGGGACACAAGCAAGAGGCAGGGATTATCCCTGGGATGAGGCTCAGTACACACAGCCAAGCCTCACAAAGCCCAGCACACAGGGATGAGACCTGGGACTAAGCTCAGCAGGCAGGGATGGGCTCAGGAGGCAGCGACCAGACCCAGGATGGAGCCTGGAGAGGGCCCAGGCTGGAGCTGAGGCAGCAGGGCAGCAGGAACTGGAGCAGGCACTCACCTGGAATGCTCCTGCTGCCTTCCAGCACCTCCTGCATCAGGCAGGGAGCAGAGCTCTGAGAGCTCTGGAGTATCACACAAACATCCCTCACACGCCTGCAGAGCAGTCACTGAGTTCCAGATCATTCCCACAGTGACCTGGGATGGGTTGGTTTGTGTTTTTTGTTTTTCCAGTGTTGGAATCCAGGGATTTGTCCAAACGTAGCCATATCAGGAGTGCAGGGAGTAATTTAAATAAGGATTTTAGCACAGAGAACTGTGGGGGTGTGGCAGGAAAGTGCTGTGAAATTGAGACATTTAGAAATATAATTTATTTGGTACCCTGTAGGCAGCCCATGGGCTCTGGGTAATTATTGTGGAGAAAGTTCTGAAAAACAGCAGGGAATAAGCTTCCCTTACATAATATCCCAACAAATACCAGTATCTTTCTCCCCTCCTTTTGCCAGTGATGTCTCTCACCAGAGAACCGACTGGATCAGCATCCACAGCCATATCTGCCACCTGCTCATCCCAGTCCTTGGGCCCCAGCCCTGTTTCCATTCTGAAAAAGACAGAAAACATGGCAAGGAGCAGCTGCTGAGGAGGCAGGTGGGTGCAGGAGGAACAAGCACAATGTCAAAGTGCTTCCAGGGAAGGAATTCCAGCTTCTCTCCGTGCCCTGGCTGTACATGGTGGGACACACCAGGGGCAGAGTGGGCTCACCTGGAATTTTCAGCTGCACAGGAGTCTCCAAAGCAGCCTTGGCTCTCACTGCCCAATCCCTCTAAAACAGAAAAGAATTTCTTGCCTAAAACCAAGCAAGGCTTTTGCCTTCACAGGATCCTCCCCTTTAGAATTCTTCCCTCTGGGTCCTCCCAAGGAAGAGGGTGGCACCTCCTTGGTTGATTTGGGACTTGGTTGCAGAAGTTTGGGGGTTGTTTTTTTTTCAACAAAACCTCAAAAATAAGGGGAGTAGGCGCATCCTCTCTGTCATTCCCGAGCCTCCATCCTTTTCCATAGTGTTTACTTCATGTCCTGAGCTTCCTCAGGCAGCAGTAATCCTGGATTTCCCACCTTGCCAGTGGGTTGGTCCATCAGCTTGGCTAGTCTGGGATCCAGCTGAGATTTGCTTCTTCCAGGCTGTTTGATGGGAGGGTATCCCTTTTCCTAGAGCAAAGGGGCAAACAAACCAAGTCCCCTCCCTTTGTTTTCCTAGCCACCTTGGAACACCCTTTCCCACTAAGTGCAGCCTTTTTTTCTCCATCAGGCCTCAGGTACATGCAGATGTGCAGGTCCTTTCCAGCCCCAGTGGTTTGCAACTCCTTCTGTTTCTGTTTATGGAGTGGCAGGAGCTGCTGTTCTACACTGTTGCTAAAATAACCCGCCCAAGTGCATCTGCTCCTGAAAATTCTCCCTATGGAAATTAATTTTCCCTCTCTAAGAACCCCCAGACACAGAGCAATAGGGCAGCACACAGTGGGTTTGGAGCAATCCAATGGTGCCACTGAGGAGAACATCCCTAATATTTTTAATTTTACATGAATTATTATTTCTAAGGTGTTTCTGGCCCAACTCTGGGGCTTTGGGGACCAGCTCATTGCTGTCACCTTCCTTCAGAGCTTCCAGAAAGATGAAGTCCAAAGGCTAAAGTCTTGTTTGGTGAGAGCTCGTGACAGGCTTTAGGCAGCAGATTCCTTTTGGTTTTACAGGAACTGGGCCATGACATCACAGGCTGGTTTGGAAACTCCTGTCTGGCTGAAAATCCCAGGTGAGACTGTTGAGCAAAGTCCACAGAAGGTGTGTCAGGCCAGTGTGTCCCAAAGGGAAAATGCAAAACTTCCTTAATTCCAGGTTCTGTTTAAGCTGTTCTTTACAAAACCTGCAAGGAAGGTTAAAATGGGTGTCATGGGGGTGTGGCAGGATTTTGCATCCAGAAGTGCTTGAAGCTGTTCCAAGAAACTCCCCTGCTATTGAACACTGATGTTGACACTGGTTACATCACTGACTTTATTGCAACTAAAATTATCCCCATACATTCCAGCAGGCCATGTGGCTGCCAGCTGAGGGAAGTGCTCCTTCATTAGCTGGAAGTTAATCTGCTGGTTTAATTAGGTGAAGGGAAGGACAGCAGGAAGATGGGGCTGGTGGAGAGAAAGTCATTCTTTATTGGGGTTCACACTGGGTCAGCAAACAGCAGCATGGAGCTGGAGCCTGGGCTGGGAATGGCTCCATGGGAAAAGCAGGGAGAGAAGACTCTGGGGTTTTCTGAAGTAGAGGTTTTTATAAGCTCCTTAACAACTCTTAACATCATCTGTTCTTCGACCTTTGTCTCCAACCTATTTAAATAAAATAGATTTTGAGAATGGTCTGTGCTGGGACACTTTGTTTTCCTTCTCTCCAAAGAAAGGAGGGAGACAGTGGAAATCCCTCAGTTACCCGCTGGTTTTCCCAGCAAGAGGGAAAGTTCCTTTATGTCCAGCAGGATTTGAAGCAGCCAAGTTGGGTCTGGGCTGGCTCAGAGGTTTTGGGAGAGGGGGTGGTTATTTAGTGCCTTGTCTCACTGGGTGCATCACATTCCTACTCCAGATCCAACAAATGTGCTTAAAAAGTTTTTCCCTGTGAGGATGGGGAGGCCCTGGACTGGTTGCCCAGTGCAGCTGTGGCTGCCCCTGGATCTCTGGAAGTGTCTGAGGCCAGGTTGGACAGGGATAATGGAAGGTGTTCCTGCCTATGGCAGGGGCCAGAATGAGATGAGCCTGAGGCTTCCTTCAACCCAAACCAATCTGGGATTCTATGCAAAAAAGGCCTTTGGAGTCGAGGTAAAAGCTCTGCAGACTCATGATAACTAGAGAAAAAACCTGCCCAAAGCCTGCCTTGGGTTTGCTGCTTTTTGAACATTTCTGCTGTACTTCACCCACTCCTGCCCTGTGTTTGTTTAGAAAACAAAGAGCTCCAGCATCAGTCAGGACACAGGGAAACCTGGGCACATCCAAATGCCCTGTGGCTCAAGGAGCAAGGAGCTGGGAGCCAGGAGGTTTTATGAGGTTCATTCCTTGTCTGTGCTCCAAAGCTTTGTTGATAGAAATCTGCTTCTGTCAACATAGCCAGGGGGATGCCTGCAGACAGCACCTCCAAACCGACAGAACTCCAAGTTTCTGTTTGGAGAAAAGCCTCACCTGCCTGCGTGATGTCAGCTCCCCACAGCTCCTGGGCATGGGAAAGATCCAGCCCAGCCCTGCTCTGGCTGCAGGTTCAGCTCCAGCTCACTGGAGCCTTCCCTCTTCTTGAAATCCTCATTTCTTCAGACACACCACAGATTTTGGTCCTGAGAGTTAATAAAGTATGTGGCACTGAGCCCTGAGTATGTTCCCAACCCCCTGCTCCCACCTGGAGCAGAGCTGGGGTCCTCAGCCCCCTCAAACCCCAAAAACTGTGTGGGGGCATCTTCAGAGAAACCCCAAATTGCAACACACATGGAGAGAGCCCAAAGCAACAGGGCCAGGGGCGAGGGGGAAACCAGGGCAGGGCCAAAGAAAACCATTCCCCCAGGACTCTTCATGGCCAAAGGGAACCATCCTCCAAGGCTTGGAACTGTGGTTGGAAATATTCACTGCTCCAGGGCTCCTCTTGCCTCCTGCCCTTCTTCTCCTCCTGGAAGCTGTGCCAGAGTCCAGCCCCCAGCTTTGTCCTCGCTGCAGATGTTTCAGGCCATGGGAAGCAGTGATGATACCATTGACAAGGAGTAAAAAAAGAATGATCCCAATCTCCAGCACCTCCCAGATGACAATCTGGGCAATGCCCACACACTAGGGCCTGCCCTGCTTGCACCAGACTGGCACAGACAAAAATACAGCTAAGAAATACCAGCTTTTCCTGCTGCTGTCCCAAGCATGTGCTGGTTCTCTCCTGGGCACCACCTGCTCCCTGGACACAGTTTGTGTTTCACAGAATCCCAAACTGGTTTGGCATGGAAGACACCTTAAAGTCCATTTAATTCCACCCCTTGCCAAGGGCAGGGGCACCTTCCACTATCCCAGGCTGCTCCAAGCCCCATCCAGCCTGGCCTTGGACACTTGCAGGGATGCTACAGCTTCTCTGGAAAACCTGCCTTTCCCCTCTTCATATTCTGGTAGCTCAGGAATGGGTGCTGTGGTTTTTTGCTCTTGGCTCTCCTCAATGGAGCAGGGGCTGTTGCTCTGAGATCTTCAGTGATCTCATTTGTCCAAAAATGTGTCTCTTTACCTCAGCTGAGATCTCCAGGAAACACTTGCAGGCTGTCCTGGTGCTCTCTGTCCGAGTGCCTCCTTCAGCCATGGTACAACTCTGCCTCATCCAAGCAGCTCAAGCTCAGCAAAATGCCAAAGCCTGGCTGCCAGGAGCTCTGAGATTTGTGTCTCTGCCCAGCTCAGCCCCAGCTGGAGGCAGAGGGTGATAAAGGGGTGAACTGGTGTTTCCTCAGTGTCTCACTGAGAAAACCAGAGTAGCACTGCTGCGCTCTCCAGCAGCACCACTGATTCCCAGGTGCTTTCCTGCTGCACCACTGCTGGGAAAAGCTGATGGAGAAGTGTTAGTAGCTGGCTGGATGGGGCTCTGGGCAACCTGGTCTAGTGGAACGTGTCCCTTTCCATGACAGGGGGTGGAAAAGATGAGCTTTAAGGCCCCCTCCCAACCCAAACCTTTCTGGAATTCTGTCATTCCACAAGGATCCTGGCACTTTATCCTTGGCATTCCTGTAAGGGCACAGTATGCAGAGCTCGTGGCAGGGAGCAGGAAATGGGATGGAGATCTGTTTGTGGAGCTGGGGATTACATCAGCTGCTGCTAACATTGGAGAGGCCAAATGGTGTGCACTGGTAAGAGCAGCAAAAGGCAGGAGCAACTATATATGGATAAGTACAGGATAAGTTATGGATTCTGACAAACCCAACACTGCAGAAGCTGCTGCACCACCAGCCCCGGCTGGGGATGGATTTGCTGAGTGTAATACATTCTGATTTGACCCGTTTTCAGTCTGCACACAAAATCCCAGTGCAGGACCAGCCAGGAGAGGGTGGGATGAAGCTGCAGTTCCCTGTAGGAGCTCTCTCCTCACTCCCTGGCCGTGTCTCCAGCAGCTGGAGCTGTGCCATGCTGGCACCATGGGGCTTGGCCGGCTCTGAGTCACACCAGAGCCCCTGGCTCTAATCTCCTTTCTGGTCTTGTGATGATCATTTTCTGTGCTTCACAGCTTTTACTGCTGCAGCCTTATGAGACCTTGTCAGGAGGCGTAAAGGATTCTTCGTCCGGGAAGACAACACATGACCTCCAAAGCTGTTCCTACTCAAAGCAGGAATGGAGCCAGACTCTAATACGTCCTAATATGACAGCTTTAATGTCTGTCTATTAATTACAGCCACAAACTGCATTACAATTGCTGCTTTATAACTTGAAAACCTAATTTTAAAAAGAGCCTGTGCATCTGTAACCACCTGGTCTAGTCAAAAGTGTCCCATGGCAGGGGATGTGATGAGATGGGTTTTAAGGTCTCTCCAACCCAAACTGGAGAGTGGGGTTCTGTGATTTCCTTTCTCCCTGTCTTTTCTCACTCTGCCCCTGCTCTGTTTCCCTGCAGGAATCTCTGATTGCCGTGGCGTTGAGCACAGCCCAGGGGTTTGTGTGGTCAGGGCAGCCCCTGGAAGCAATTCCTGCAGCACTGCAGGCGCTGCGCTTCAGCTCCCGCGTGTTCGGCTCTGGCTCCTCGCAGCTCGTGCCCATTTATCTGCTCCTGGCCGAGGCCTCCACGGGTGAGCATTGTCAACATGGGAATGCTGGCACGGGTAAGGCCTCCCAGCTCAGGTTTCTGGTTTCCTTTTGCCATTTATCTGGAAAGGAGCAGTTCTGGCCCCTGCTCTGCCTCAAGGGCATTGCAGAGATTTGAGCCGTCCCACACACACACACCCCCCTCACACCCCTTTTCTGTGGCTCTGGGGAAACAAATCTCTCAGCACTCAGGAGATCAATGAAATCAAATGAAATGTTTTCTTCCTCTACACCAATTCCCACAGGAGAAGCTGTATGAAAGTCTATTCTTTACCTCCATGGCCTTGGATGACTCTCCAAAGCATTAAATTCCAGAGGGTGGTTAGTTGAGCTCTTATCTCAGGGGACCAGCAAACATTTCAGAGGCCATTGCACCCAAAGAACTCCTGGTTCATTCACAAATCTTCCTCTGACTGAGCAGAGCTTTTTCTCATTGTGTGCTTTGGAAAACATGTCAAATGAGGGCATGGGAGCTGCTCTCCCTGCAAGAGAGATCTCTGTAAATCACTGCCATTCCAGGAGCGCACACAATGCTCTGCTGGCACAACGGAGCTGGCTCAGGGGTTGTCGTAAATGGTGTGGTGAGAGCAGGGAGAAAAATACTGTGAGTAATTCCAGTGTGATAAGGTGAGAGTCATCAGTGCCTGCCTGCAGTGAACCAATTTAGGCTACGTGTTCCAGAGAGATTGTGTGCAATGTATCCAGTGCCGTGGAGCCAGGCTGGGAGAGCTGGGAGTGTTCACCTGGAGAAGAGAAGGCTCCAGGGAGACTTCAGAGACCCTTTCAGTGCCCAAAGGGACTCCAAGAGAGCTGGAGAGGGACTTTGGGCAAGGGTCTGGAGTGCCAGGACAAGGGGGAATGGCTTCCCACTCACTGCCAGAGGTCAGGGTCAGGTGGGATATTGGGAAGAAATCCTTCCCTGTGAGGATGGGGAGGCCCTGGCACAGTTTCCCCAGAGCAGCTGTGGCTGCCCCATCCCTGGAAGTGTCCAAGGCCCGGTTAGATGGGGCTTGGAGCAACCTGGGATAGTGGAAGGTGTCCCTGCCTATGGCAGGGGCTGGAACTAGATGAGCTTGAAGGTCCCCTCCAATCCAAATAAGTCTGGAATTCTGTGGTTTCTGGCTCCTTTTGGAGCTCTCTGCATATTCACCTGTCTGTAAATGAGTCTTTAGACACCTAGGTAACTCAGAAGCACTTGGGAAAGAAGTGGGCAATCCACAAAATGCATGTCCATTGCATATCAAGCTACCCCAAAGGGACAGCTAGTAATATTCTCTGATTTTCCAGATTAAAAAATGCTCCTTATCTTCCTGATTTCCCTGTTTATCCCTACATGTCATTCCAGGTGCTGGCCGTCTCCGACAGGCAGCCAAATATCTCTCCCAAGCCCAGTGGATCGTCCTCCAAACCCCAGACTGCAGTGCTGCTCTTCAGTCTAAGTTACACCGTGGGCTGGGGCTTTTCTCTGCTGCTGAAGGAAACCTGGACCAGGCTTTGTATCACCTGGCCAATGATGTGAGTCCCTTGGAATACAGGAACAAAGAACACTTCCCTTTTAATCCCTTCTCTCCTCCCAGATCAATATGGAAATGCCAACAGGCAGATTTGGGATCTTGAGAGGGTTCACATCACCCAAACTGGATAGATCTGAGACACATGTGTGAGCTAAAGATGTGTTTTGCCAGTTATCCCTATTCCTGTAAAGTGACAGAGAATTATGGAATCACTACAGCTGGAAAAGCCCTCCATGATCATCAAGTCAAACCGTTCTCCCAGCACTGCCAGGTCCACCACTAACCCATGTCCCCAGGTGCCACTTTTTGAACACCTCCAGGGATGGTGACTCTACCACTGCCCTGTGCAGCCCCTCCAATGCCTGACTATGCCTTCCATGAAGGATTTTTCCCAATATCCCACCTAAATCTCCCCTGGCACAGCTTGAGGCCATTCCCTCTGCTCCTGTCCCTGTTCCCTGGGAGCAGAACCCGACCCCCTCCTGGCTGTCCCCTCCTGACAGGAGCTGTGCAGAGCCACAAGGTCCCCCCTGAGCCTCCTTTTCTCCAGGCTGAGCCTCCCTCAGACACTCCTCACATGTTCTTCACATTCCTTGTCTTGATGGCTTCTCCCTATAAATTTCTCCATCAGCTTCATTTCAGTGCAGAGATGCCCAGACATTCCTGCCCCAAGCTGATGGATTTGCCTTTATTCCACAGATAATTTACATTTTGGCTGTTATTTCTCTCAATACTTTCCCAGCCCTGTCACCCATTATTTAATTAATGCCTTATTTCCCTATTTCAGTATCTGGTTCAATGATTTTTCTCCAATTCCACATCTTCAGCCATGAAAATAGTTTGGTCATTGCCACCTGTGTTCCTGTGGATGCTTTGCCTGTCATTTGATCCTCCAAAGCCAGATGAACTTCTCCACATCCTATTTCTGTCCCATGTAGACTAAATTTATCCAGTGCTGAGTGATGTATATCCACTCCTGTGGAATTTGATAGTGGCTTTGTGTGGGTGTAAATGATGACATAAAGGGAGAAGAGTCAGCCCCTTTCTATTTAACACACAACCATGTCTCTGCTTAGTCTAGAAGCCCTTTGGGCATTTGAGAATCCCACAAAAGAATCTCCCAAAAGTCTTTGGAGATTTCCAAAATCCCTCCCTCCTGCCTTTTTTCTTTTTTTTTTTTCTTTTTTTTTTTTTTTTTTTTTTTAAAGATTCCCTAAATGTGGTGTCTGAAAAGGCACCAGGTAAGAAGTTTTTAACTCTTAGCAAGTTCAGGACCTGCCTGGACTTTGGCTGCGTGTCTGGGATCTGCTGAGAGTCACACACCAGCTCAGAATAGCTGGAATACTACACTGCCTTCACTGCTCCTCTGGGGGAAGAACAGGCTTGTCTGGGGGCTGGGAAAGAAGCAGGATGGGCTGTGGGAGAGCAGCAGGATGGATTTTGGGAGAGCAGCAGGATGGGTTTTGGGAAAACAACAGGATGGGTTTTGGGAGAGCAGCAGGATGGGTTTGGGGAGAGAAGCAGGGTGGGTTTGGGGAGAGAAGCAGGGTGGGTTTTGGAGAGCAGCAGTTTGGGTTTTGGGAGAGCAGCAGGATGGGCTTTGGGAGAGCAGCAGTTTGAGTTTTGGGAGAGCAGCAGTTTGAGTTTTGGGAGAGCAGCAGGATGGGCTTTGGGAGAGCAGCAGTGTGGGTTTTGGGGAAACAGCAGGATGGGTTTTGGAGAGCAGCAGGATGGGTTTTGGGAGAGCAGCAGTTTGGGTTTTGGGAGAGCAGCAGTTTGGGTTTTGGGAAAGCAGCAGGATGAGCTGTGGGAGAGCAGCAGGATGGGTTTTGGGAGAGGTGGAACGGATGGTGGCACAGGAAGAGGGGGAGAGGTGGGAAATCTGCCCTGGATTTCAGAGAATGAACCAAGCAGGTGCCTCTGCCCCAGCTAGGGGGGATTTAGGGTGTTGCATTCCCACTGATCAACCCCAAAATTCAGCTTTTTAGTACGTTCCTATGGATAAACTCTGTGAACTAGGTATATTCCTATGGATCCTATGGATAACCCCCAAAATACAATTCTTTACTACCTCGTGCCCATGGATAACCACAAAATATAGAGGTTTTATACCTTATTCCTTTACATAATCCCCAAAATACAGCTTAATACCTGGTTCATATGGATAACCCCCAAAATACAGCTTGTTAGTGCCTCATCCCTATGGATAACCACCAGAGTTTTTAGCATGTCATTCCTTTACATAACTTCCAAAAAACAGCTTTTAAGCACCACATTTTCCAATCACTGTCAGGCATAGTTTACACATAAAAAAACCCAGCATTTGCAATATTAATCCACAGTGAAAAACTTCCCAAGTTTGACATGAACATGAACCTTCTGGGGCTTATTTTGTGTTTAATATTGATTTCAGGTTTACCTGGCAACTGCTGAGTTTGGACTAAATTCTATTGAGGTCTCTGCAGGGTACTTCCACATGGCCAATATTTTCTTCCACCAGAATAAAATGGATGCAGCAAACTCGCTCTATACTGAGGTTGGTAGAACCAAAAACCATCCTCTGAGTTTTTCTCAGCTTTTTTGGATGTTCTTTCCAAGGTATTTTCCCTTTCCTTTCGGGTTGATGACCATATCAAGTGTCAGTGTTGCCTTTTGGGATCAGTCCCAGAAACCCTTTTTTGTACATAAATAAATACCTGAGTTAAAACCATGAAATATTAATCCTGTAATTAGTTTAAAATTCTTAATAAACTGTCTTCAATTTGAGCAGCCAAAGTTTGTTAAAAAACAGCTTTGCTACCAAATTTCCTGTGCCAGGGGTTAGAATCCCACCAGTACAGAGGGTCTCTGAGGGGTTCCTAAATCCAGGGAAGAGTGGGATACAAACAAGCAACCTAAAATTTACACTGGGAATCAGCAAAAAGTCACACTGATAAAAGATTTTCAGAATGGATTGATCAAGCAATGAAAGTAATAATTATCTAATTGATTTAATAACTGAAGAAAACAAACTTTTATTTGTTTAAGTCAATTTTTGTGGAAATAAGGTGCTGGGAGCTGCAAAATCCACCACCATTCGTATACCAAATGTCAACTCAACTAGCTTTTGGTGAACATTTTGGTTAGATTTGTTGAAGTTAGGTGAAAATCCCCAATCAGCTGGAGCAGTGAGCGATTCCAGGTGGGGCTGTGTGGGAAAGGAGTGGGAACATCCAGCCCGGCTCAGTGACCCGCAGGCACGCGGAGGGGACATTGTTTGGAGAACAAGTGAATACCAGGGGTTCACAGGAGTGAAATAATTCCCTTGCTTCCTGCCAGGTGAGCAGCCTCTGGCACGACTGGCTGCTGAGCTCCCTTCACAGGCACCAGCAAGTGCTCCAGGCCCAGGCAGAAGCATCACCATTCTCCGAGGAGGAGGAGGTCATGGAGGACAGGATGAGTAAGAGCTGCTATTGCTCCAAAACCTTTGGGAAGTGGGGGGTTAAAGACTCCCTGAACCCTACATGTTGTGTTGGCATTTCCAGAGGCTGAATTTAATGGCAATGCCAAGTGTTCTGGATGTCACTGCTTGGCAGATTGCCACAGGCTGTTTCAGGGATAAGGGTGTTCCATGGAAACCCAGCTTTGCCCTTGCTGGTTGCATTCTCCGTTTCACAGCTCCCTTGGCACTGACTGGAGCAAAGCAAAATTTGATTCATGGACTCATTTGGGTTAGAAAGGACCTTTAAAATCATCAAGTCCAGCCATTCCTCCAGCACTGTCCTGTTCACCACTTACCCAATCCCAAATGCCACATCCACGTGCTTTTTGAACTCTTCCAGGCATGGTGATTCCAACATCTCCCAAGGCAGCCTGTTCCAATGCTTTACATGTATTTCCATGAAAAATTTCTTCCTAATATTCCAAGTAAACCTCCCCTGGTGCAATTTGACACTCAAACATTCTCATTTCTCTGCAGCTTCTTCATCTCCCTTTAATAATGGATGTGACATCTCAGCTCACTTAGGTGGGGGTACAGCTGCCTCCTGGAGCAGCAGGACATGATGGAATAGCCTGTACAGATAATTAGATGTATTAATCAAGAGAGCACTCTTGGGAGAAAGGCTGGGAAGTCTCTCACTGGCACATAAAGGTGCAGAAAGCATCAGTGTGCCCCTGGTACTACCTCAGGCTTTCCTGAGACCAGACCAGACTCTGGTTCTTGGCTCCTTTCTACCATCTGTGTTAATAAGGACATTGTCAGGAAAGGGAATATAAATTTCTCTCCCTGAAATATTCAATGCCAGGTTGGACCAGGCTTGGAGCAGTCTAGTCTAGTGGAAGTGTCCCTGCCCATGACCAGGGATTGGAATGAGATGATCTTTAAGATCCCTTCCAAACCAAAGCAGTCTGGGATTCTGTGATTTTAAGAGAATCATTTCTGTAAATCCCATTTTCTGGCACTACCTCCATCAGGTGTTCCCAGAGTAGGAAGAACACCAAGGCAGGGCTACAGGAGACCATCTTTGGTGTGACAGGAGTAGAAAAATAGTTCTTTTCCTGCAGCTGTTGTGACTCCACATCCTCTCTGAAGACTGATTGGATGAAAGGAGTCCTGTTCATATGCATGGAATTTGCATGAAGCTGGGATCATAAACATCCAGACTGGTTTGGATTGGAAGGACCTTGAAGTTCACCTAATTCCACCCCTTGCCATGGGCAGGGACACCTTCCACTATCCCGGGTTGCTCCAGACCCCATCCCTTGGACACTTTTAGGGATGGGGCAGCCACAGCTTCTCTGGGCACCCTGTTCCAGGGCCTCCCCATTCTCAGACCGTGTTGATGTTTGTAGCAGAAATGCTTTGCTGTCTAGAAGAGCCAGCTGGGCAGTTTTAAATCTATTCTCTTGCACAAATCCACCCATCAGGATCATTTCTGTCTCCGTGCAGCCGAAGGCCGGCGTGAGGAAGGAACGCGGATGCTGCGCGCGGTGCTGAAGGTCCGGGAGCAGGGACCACTGCAGCATCCTGGGGAAACTGCCCGAGCCCTGCATGCCCTGGCCATGATCCACTACCTGGGCCTGGATTTAGCCAAGGTAGGTTGTGGCTGGAAGGGTTCAGGAGAATTCAGCTGCTCTGGGATCATCCTATCTCCTGGTCCTCTTGTTCCTCCTGAGCCCACAGCGCTGGTGGCCAAGAGCAAAGTGCCCCATAGTGCTCAAAGCAAGGGCTTAGGTGGGATAGTGGGAGGAAATCCTTCCCTGTGAAGCTGTGGCTGCCCCTGGATCCCTGGAAGTGTCCAAGGCTGGGTTGGATGGGGCTTGGAGCAGCCTGGTCTTGTAGAAGACCATCCCCCTGCCATGGGATATGACATCAGCTTTAAAAGTCCCTTGCAAGCCAAACTATTCCATGATTCTGTGACCTGCACTCTGTAAAGGCTGACAGTCCTGGGGGATGTGTTTTGGTCTCTGCCAGGCCAGCGGATCCGGCAGTTATCCACATTTTCTAGGCTCTTCCTTTATCTGGACTGTCTTGGCAGTGTAGCTGCCTTTAGACCTGAGCTCAGGGGTTACACAGAGCAAGATCTGTGTACCAGACAGATCTGTGTCCCAGATCCTTGAGCCAGACTCCCCTGAGTTCAAGGTTCAGTATATTGGGGTCTGTAATTCCGGTTTGGAATCTGCATTCCTGTGTCTTTATGGCTTAAAACTTCAGGTGACTAGTAACTTCTGTGCTTTACCAGAAGCACAAGAATTGATTTTCAGGAAGTGTTGAGCAGATACCATCTGGCAATCAGGCCCTTCTGTTTGGGATCAGAGCTCAAAACGCTGAGTTTCTTCAGCCTGGGTTTTGAGGAGTGAAAACACGGGTGGTGAAAAATACTGTATTGAAATATTAATGGTCTCTTCACTGTATTATAGAAAGCCACAAGTTGGGAGTGTTTGGGAGACACAAACAAATTTCAATTTGTTGGAAAAAAAAAGATAAAGCTTTATAATTTTGAGAGTGTCTAATCCTTGGAAAAGATACCAAGGGAAATTATTTAGTTCCTTATCAAGAGAAATGAAAGATTTAGTTCAGAGTCAGTACAGCTGGTTTTATTCCCTGACATGGCTTTGGGATTGTCCAGAGGAGCTGTGTTAGACAGGAGGTGATGTCCAGCACGGGGGGCTGGGGTCAGTAATCTCCTGTCTGCACCACTGGATCCTAAATATGGGATCTGCTAGCAGCTTTAGGCTCTCCTGTAAAGCAGCTTGTGCAGGTCACCTCGGAAAGGGAGCCTGGATCTGCTCCAGGCTGCTCCTGCACTGAGCCTCAGCAGGTATTTAACTCTCCCATGAGAAAAGCCAAATTCCTGGGTGTTTCTTCTGTCCCATTCCAGGCCCAGGAGGTGGGGATGAAAGCCTTCGACCTGGCCAAGCAGCTGCCCCAGCAAGACTCTCTAGAAACCATTGGTCACCTGCTGGAGCTGATTAATGCCCAGCTTTCCCACACCACATAAAGACTGGCTCTGCCAGACCCAGTTTGTTTGGCCAGGCTCTCTCTTATCCAGGTTCCTGGACACCACCAGCATCACAAGCCCTTGGGCCTTCTGCTTGCTGCCTCTTCCCAGCTGCGTCCGTGGCTGTCCCAAACTGTTTGGAAAATAAACATTTTGGTCTGAGTCAGTCTTCATCTGCTGCTCCACTTCTGTAACCTCTGAGAGAGTAACAGCACCAGGGTGAGAAACAAAAGCAGCACGGACACACTGAATAAATCATTTATTGGCCAGGTTGGGAATGAGCAAACAGCCTCTCACAGTCTCATGGTGGCTGTCCAGGAGCCAAGACGAGCTCAGGTGTGTTTCTTACTGGCTTCCTGGCTTTGCTGTGCCATTTTAGTGAGGGAGATCCCATGGAGGGATGGGAGAGGACACAGGGAAGGGCTAGGGTGGTGGACACCTGCACCTGGGGAGCTGGTCAGGCTTGACAAAGCATTGCAGCTCCTTACAGAGCCCCTCCATCTCCAAACCAATTTCCAGAAAATCCCAGCCCGGTTTGGAAAACCAGCCAAGTTTAGATCCCATCCCACTTCACCCCTTGCCATGGACAGGGACGCCTTCCATTATGGCAGGTGCTCAGAATCTTCTCTTTCTGCAGAACTTCTCATAGCTCTGGGCACTGAGAGACTCATTTGTTCCAATTCCACGGGTGGAAGTTTCACGGGAAGAACTTCTGTCCAAAGAGGGACCACGGGAGGCATGAGACAGAATGAAAAGGCTCCAAGTGAGGATTCTATGCTAAAGGAGAAGTAGTTTCCTGCTGGCAGAGGTCTGACATGGCCAACCTCGGGAGGAGATGCCATTCCCAGCCGACTCCTGCCCCGGGGAGCAGCGAGACCCCTCGGGATGGAGTGTCCCAGCTGGGGGAAGGGACAGGGACACCAGGAGGCTCCAGAGGCCATGGGGAGTGTGGGAATCACGGTGCTGATGATCCCTCACGCTGGGAAAGGGGAGAAGGGGCTCTCGGCCTGGCTCTCGGCTCCGATTGAGGCTCGTTACTGCAGGAGGATTTATGAGGGTGTTTAATTGCCTCGCCGAGTTGGGCTGGAGTCAAGTGCGCTTTGTAAACGCTTCGTCAAGCTGGGGCCTGAGCAATTAGCAGGGATTGCTGCTGCTGGGGAAGGGAAAACCGCAGGTTCAGCCACGTTCCATTCCAGAGGGGGGGATAAGGCTGCTCAGGGCGCAGAGCACAGGCCTGGGGAAGGGCAAGGAGACCTCCCAGCACTCTCCTGGGAGATGCTGCTGGTCTCTCCACCTCATCAGGTGTGGAATAACCACCTCCATGGGGTGGGAGATGCTGGGAGGGACTGGGATCGTCTCCAAGGGGCAGGGGATGCTGATTGATCACCGCCATAAGGTGGGGGATGTTGGGGAGCTGTGCCTGCTGGCACAGTGCCCCAGGGCACAAGGATTTGGGTCACCAGGGATTTGGAGCTTGGTCGTGGCTGTAATCCTTCCCAGTGCTCCCAGGCTGAGCCTGCAGGGCCGTGTGGCTGCTCTGAATGTTCAACAAAACAAACCCAGCCTGGAAATGAAGGTTGTGCAGGGATGAGCATCTCCTGGAGCCAGGAACGAAACAGCAGAGTGAGGAGAGGAGCCCTGGGCAGAGAAAGAACATTCTGGGGAAGCTCTTAAAGACACTACAGAAGCGATTCCTACAACAGCCATGCCCTGCAGGGCAAAAAGCTGCTTCAATAAATAGAAAAAAAAGCCTGAAGTGACCAAGATCAGCATTTCTTTGCCTGAAAGTGTTCAGGCTTGCAGCTCTCGGCACCTTCTCAGCTGGAGGGAAAAAAAAAACCAAATCCACAGAGCAGCAGCAACCTCCTCCCTCCCTTCCCTTGCTCAGCTGCTCATGGCACCACCACGGCTCTGTCCTGGGCAAGAGGAGCAGGTTTGGGATCCACAGGACACGACAGCTCCAGCCAGGTCCCCCCCGTGATCCCAGCCCAGGCTGCTCCAGGCAATTAAAATCTGGTTGTACACCCAGAGCAGGTATTTTGCAACCAGGTGAGTCGTTCCCGTGGTGGAAAAGCTTTGCAGGGACACGCACTCCCAGACACCCCCCCCAAGCCTGGCAGGGCAGGGAAAGTTTGGCTCTGAGAAATAAAAGGCACAGGACACTGGGGCTGGGTGGCTGCTCACATTCTCCTTTATTGTTCACACCACACACTTTCCCCCCTTGGCACTTCACTGCAGGGATTTGCTTAAAAACCACACACACTCCCCCCCACAGCTTGGTGAGGCTGTGCCACAACCAGCTGAGAATGGGCATTTTTAAAGATATTTGTTTAATTCCCCCCCCTCCCCCTTTTTTTTCTTTAATGTGTGGTCAAGTGTCATCACTTCCAAACCAAACAAATACATTTTAAAAAAGATACTATTAAAAAAAAAAAACAACACAAAAAAACAACCCTCCCTGTGGCTTTGGGAATGTGCCAGGAGCTCCCACACCAGCTGCACTCAGGGAAATGCTTTTTTTTTGTGTGTTTTCAGTTTTGTTTGAAAAGGACAGTATTTTTCATGTGTATTTTTTTTTAATATACTACAGCCTGAAGTTCAGTGCAATAGATACAACTACAGTGCAGAACTATACAAAAGTCATCCTAACCATGTACAAGCTTTTTTTTCTTAGTTGCTATAGAAACTATAACCTTTTTCTGTACCTTTTGTATGCATTATACAGTGTGAATATACTCCAAGAATATTTACAGTACTTGGCTTGTCAAATCAGAAACGCTATAACTTAAATGTCTACTATTAACAACCATTGAACAAAAATATATATAATATAAATATCTTCCAGTCTATACACAGAGCAGGAAACAGCTGTATCCATGCGGTGCTGGATTTTGGTGAGTCCTGGGATGGGGGTGGTGATGGAGGGGGATGTTGTCGTGTGCGGCTGCCGCTGGCGCTTCACTGTCGGGCAAATATTGCCGAGATTAATCCCAAAATTCAACAAGATCACATCCCCCCTCTCCCGTTTTTCCCCTCCCAGCTGGGAATTCAGGCGAAAGGAGAGGAGCCTGTGACAATGGATTGACCTTTCCAACCGATCCATCCGGACGGCTCCGTCCTCCGCGCTGCCCCGGGCGGGAGGTCCCCGTCCGCGAACCCACCGCAGGGCTTGAAATCAAGGAGACTTTAAAAAAATGACTCATTTTCTCGGTAGGTTTTTTTTTTTTAAAAAAAAAATATTAGATTTAGTCAATTTACGTGATTTTTCTTTTTTTTTTTCTCTATGATTAGAATGTTAAAAAATAAGTTTCCAGCTTTTTAAAAACTTCCTCTACGTGATTTTTCCGTTAAATAGCTATCGCGTCGTCGATAAAAAACAGGGAATTGCCCTCCTGCTGGTGGGGGCTGCATGGCTGGGTTTTAAAAGGCCTATTGGCTTTGAAATCTTGGACGCGAAACCAACTAAAAAAATTAAATAAAACTCGTTCCTAGCAGAAAAAAAAAATAATAATAATAAAATAGGTCAGTCTGTCCCCAGTAAACCACTGGGGGAGGCTGGAGAAGGGGTGTTGGAGCCAGACCCCCCCACTCCCCTCCTGCCTGGGGTCTGTACAAAGTGTTTTTTTAAAAGTCCCCCCGGATTGGGGGCGGTGGCGCCGGGGGTCCAGGTTACACCTGCGAGTCCGCGCCCAGGCTGTGGAACTCGTCCGGGGTCTTGTCGCTCTGGCCGCCCCCGCTCTGCCGGAAGCCCGAGGCAATCTCGTCAAAGGTCCGGCCTTTGGTCTCCGGCACCTTGAAGTAGGTGAAGATGAAGAAGAGCACGAGCAGCACCGTGAAGATGATGAAGACGTAGGAGCCACAGAGTTGCTGGGATTGAAGGGAAAGGGGGAGGTGAGCACGTGGATGGAGGTCACAGAATCCTGGAGTTGTTGAGGTTGGAAAAGCCGTCCAAGACTGAGTCCAGTCCACCCCTAACCCATGCCCCAAGTGCCACATCCACATGTTTTTGAGCACTTCCAGGGATGGTGATTTCATCACCTCCCTGACCACCCTTTCCATGAAGAAATTTTCTCAATACTCAATCTTAACTTCCCCTGACACAGCTTGGGGCTGGGTCCTCTCCTCCTGTCCCTGTTCCCTGGGAGCAGAGCCCAAACCACCCCCGACTGTCCCCAGCTGTCAGGAGTTGTGCAGAGCCAGAAGGTCCCCCCTGAGCCTCCTTTTCTCCAGGCTGAGCCTCCCCAGCAGCTCCTGGTGCTCCAGACCCTTCCCCAGCTCTGTTCCCACCTCTGGACACAGAGTGATGGGCCATGGTTGAAGGACCAGCTGGTACCACCCTGCCCACACCTTGCCATGGCCATATAAAACCCAGGGCCTCCTTTCAAGGAACATCTCGAGTTCCACAAGAAACACTGAGTTAAGATCCTCCTCCAGCCCAGAGTCCTTCTTCCCAAGGGATCTTAACCCAACCAAACCACCTCAGCCTGGGTTTTAGGGCTCAAGAATGTGGCTCTGGAATTCAACACTGGATCCAGCAGCAAGATCTGACACCAGGGCTCCACACCAAGACCTGGTAATGAGATCCAGCACCAGGAACCAGCAACCAGACCCGGGATTTGGATTTGGCAGAAGGATCCAGCAATGGGATCCTGCACTGGAGCTGGACACCGTTTCCACCCCTGATCCAGACCTGGGATCTGGATCACCCTGAACCAGCACAGTCGGACAGGCTGGGACTGAGATTCCCCTGGACTGCTGGGGTCCTGTGGGACTCCCAGATCCCCGTGTCCCCAGTGCCACCCCCACTCCCCAGCCATCATTACCGCAATGTACTGGAAGCCCATTCCCACAATGAAGTTGGAGGTCCAGTTGGAGAGCCCAGCCACGGCGAAAGCAGCGGGACGGGGGCCTTGGCTGAACAGCTCCGCCACGATGAACCACGGGATGGGGCCTGGGCCGATCTCAAAGAAGGCCACAAACCCAAAGATGGCCACAATGCTGAGGTAGGACATCCAGGGCATTTGGTCCTAGGCCAAGGGAGAGGGAGAAGGTTGGTGCCATGAAGGGGACATGGCACCCGGACACCTCAGCTGGTGCTGGCACAGGAGCCATGAGCTGGAAGCTGGAATTCTAGGAGCTCAGGAGAGATGTGACAATAGAGACTGAGTGCTCAGCCATCATTTCAAAGAGGAATAAGCCCTTCTTCCTCCCCAGCCATCCCTCAACCTCCTCCTCCTCCTCCCAGCCTCCCCAGCACTCACCAGCAGCGTGAGGGCGATGGTCATAAGAATGGCACACCCAGCCATCCCTGCCAGCCCAATGAGGTGCAGGGTCCTGCGGCCGGCTCTCTCCACCACGAAGAGCTGTGGGATGGACATCATCCATCAGCACCTCCCCAGCCTGCAGGAAAGGGCCCTTCTCCCTTCTCCCACCTCCCCTTTCTCCCCACCCAGGGGGCCAGAACTCACCGAGACCACCGTGAAGGCAGTGTTCACCACGCCAGAGCCGATGGTGGCATAGACAGGCTGCTCCACCCCCGACTTCTCGAAGATGCTGGTGGAGTAGTAGAAGACCTACAAAGGGCAGGGAGGTCCAAAAGTCAGGTCCTGGAGCTGTAGGTGAACCAAGCTGACCCCTGGCATTCAGAGCCCACCCAGACTGACCGCGTTGATCCCCGAGAGCTGCTGGGAGAGCTGCAGGACGATGGCGATGAGGATGGGCTGGCGGTACATGGGCGAGCGGAACAGCTCCATGATGGTGACCTTCTTCTCCCTCATCATCTGCCGGCTCTCCTCCTTCATCTCCTGCAGGTCACTGCTCACGTCCGTCGTGCCTCGCAGCTTCTTGAGGACTGAGAGGGAGAGGTGGGGTCAGGAGATGTCGAGGACCCTCTGGAGCACCGGGATGGGCCCACAGAGGGGCCACTCACCACTCTTGGCTTTGTTCTCCTCGTTGCGGTTGATGAGCAGGAACCGGGGGCTCTCGGGGGCGAAGGGCAGGATGATGCACTGCAGCAGGGCAGGAACGAAGATGAAGCCCAGCAGCAGCGGCCAGAGAGAGTCGTTTCCCATGATCAAGTCCAAACCAAACACCTGAGGAGGAGTAGAGGGATTGAGCCACCCATCCCAGCTGGAAAAGTCCTGGTTGGACACAACTCTGCAACTCATGGTGTGCTCCAAGCTGGGACAGCCATTGAAAGGACTCCTGTGCTGCTTCCAGGTGGCCAAGAGATGTTAGTATCCTGATGTTACCCATCCCAAACCTTCAGATTCCACAGCATCCCTGCTCCTGCTGAGCTCCCAGCTCCACCTGAAAGGTTTTCAGATCCACAGCACCTCATCCTTGCAGGCCCTGAAGAGTGTCAGGATCAAAAGGAAGCATTCTCCTGTGCTCACCTGTGCGATGAGGATGCCCAGGACGATGCCAAGCTGGTGGAAGGTCCCCAAGGCCCCCCGCAGGGCAGTAGGGGACACCTCTCCCACGTACATGGGCACGAAACCCGTGGTGAGGCCAGAGTAGAGGCCGATGATGAAGCGGCCGAGGATGAGCATCTCAAAGGAGAAAGCCATCTTGGAGAAGCCCATGAGGACAGCTGCCACGAAGGCAAGGATGTTGGACATCAGCATGGAGTTGCGCCTGGAGAGGGATGGAGGAGAGGTGAGGAACGCCAGGAGAACCCAAACATCAGCCCTTAGCAGTGTGGAACGCCAGGGCGGGGTGAGGCAGCAGAACCTCCCCACCACGGGACCCACCAGGCTCGGAGCTCACCTCCCAAAGCGATTGACAAAGAGCCCCACAGAGAAGGAGCCGATCATGCCCCCGACGGAGAAGATGGCAACGGAGAGGGACCAGAGCGTGGTGAGGGTGGCGGGGCTGATGGGCTCCTCGTATCGGTACAGCCACGTGCGGTTGTAGAAGTCCTCGATCACCTGGAAAACGAGGAGAGAGCCCAACCCGGCGTCAGGCCCGCCCCTGCTCCAGCCCTGCCACCCGAGGGACGAGTCCCCGCGGCCACCGCGCTCACAAGACCATGCGTCAGCGGAGCTGCTGGCCAAGGCTGGGCTCCTGCCCAAGGGAGGGAACCTGCTGGGATACGTGGGGGAAATGCAGCCCGACGGGTTCTGGGCTCGCCCTGCCCAGAGAGACGGCGGCGGGAGAGACGCCAAACTCGCTGGGCAGGCATGGGGAGGTCACGCTGCTCCCCAGGGCAGGGCAGGGCAGGAGCCAGAGATGCACCGGCCCCGCAGAGGAAGGGGAGGAACACGGGGCAGCTCCCATCCCCTTGGGCACTCGTGGAGTTCTATTTCCAGGTTTTTCCCCCCAAGACTTCCGTAACACAAGATCTCTGCCGTGGTTCTGCAGGGCCTCGATGCCAACACCCAGCACAGGCCTTGGTTTGAAACACCAAGAACAGCCTGCTCTGTGAATTTTAGGTGGTTTTATAGAAATTTTGCATCTCTTTATACACAAAATATATACTTTTTGTATACTTTTGATGTATTTTTAAAGCTAGCCCACCACTGGTAGCTTCACCAAGTTCCTGTCCCTGCCCATGGCTGGGAAAGTGGCCTAAACAACCCTCTAAAGGTTCCTTCCAACCCAAATCCTTTAGAATACCATCATTTAAGGGTCACCCATCCCCAAACCACCAGAGCAAAGGGCTCCATAACACCCCACCACGCCCAGCTGGAAGGAGCAGAAATTCCAGAGATTCCCTGCTTTGCTGGACCTCAGGTGGCTCCAAGATTTTGCTGCTCTGAATGGCTTCACTCCCAATTCACTATTTACACCATTGTGCTTTACTTTCCACTTTTCCCATCAATCCAAGCCCAAACAGGAGCCCTGGCAGAGACAGTGCAAGAAATACACACTGGGCTGGGTACAAACCCCAATTCATTATTTTGCCAAGTTGTTCCTCTTCCAAAGCATGTAAACCATTAGAATTTCTATCTTTAAGTGATTTTGTTCACTTCTGCTTCACCCAGGGGTTTGGATGCTTTTCCCTCTTTTACCAGTATTCCCAAAATAAATAATTGATTGGGTTATTGGAGAAGTCTGGGCTGGCTCAGGCTCTCAGTAGGCCCAGGGGGTATCTGAAAATAACAGCCCCTCCTGGCCCTTCCTCCTGAAAAAAGGGAAGATGCTTTGAATAATGTTTTTTTGGGAGAGAAAGAGGTGAGAAATGGGTTTAAAGGGAGAAAGGCGGAAGAAAAAAAATTGTTTTCCCCCCCTTTTCAGCTGAGTGTTGTGATGCATCCCCACGAATCTCAATATCAGTGCATCCCAAACCTGTGCCCAATGCATCCCCATCCCAACTCTGCATCCCTGTGCATTCTCATCCCGACCCTTCACTCCAGTTTATCCCACTGCATCCCCATCCTGTGCCTCAATGCATCCTGAGGCATTCCTGTCCCAGTCCTGCACCTCCATGCAGCCCAGCTGTGCCCCAGTTTATCCCAATGCACCCCATTCCAAGTCCAATGCATTCCATCTTGCACAGTAATG